ATTGGTTGTCATGCATCACTGCAGTTATACAGTATGGTGTGGTGCAGGGTATGTCAAAACTTAGTCGTTTATCACACATCACTTCACTTACACACTATAGGATGTGTATACAGGTAATATTGATTAACAATTAATTAGTGAATGATCTCTGTTCATTTCTTAGCGTCATGTGTGATATTTAGATTAAATTATAACTGTTTTGTTTAATTAGTCCTATATTATAATGACCTGTATTATGTTGTTCTGGAATGACCCTGCCATAGTTGATGTTATCATGTACCTTTAGCATGGGGAAGAATCGTTGCTGTAGCTAAATGATACCTGTCTACTGAAAAGATATTTTTAAATACCGGGTAGATGTATCATCAAAAATCTCATAGAATACAAAACATGTATTACAATCAACCTATATTCATTGTTCTAGATATATACCATTAGGGATATGATATAGAACAAAGTGCAGAATTTGCTCACATTACAACATAAATTAATGCCATAAATTAAATTCAGAACTGAATGGAAACAGTTTAACTGATACTGATTGATGATTCACTGTACAAGTTGGTTGTGTTGTTTTTATTTCATTTTATTGTTTTTTTTTTTAATTTTTGTGAGATTAAATTTGGAAATATCAAAGTGCCTTAATTACTTGTGTTAGGTTATTTGATATTAGTTAAAACATTTTGAACAGGAAATATTAGAACGGAAAGTGTAATTGACTAATTAAGATACTGTAAAATCATGTGTTTTCGCGGGGTTTAATTTTTGTGTTTTGTTTGTTTCCTTATTTTATTGTGATTTTGAGGAAACTTTGTGGGTAAATATAGCCAAATCAATCTAGTTACACTGTAATTTTAGATAGATAAATTCTTTGAATAAGACTTGAAATTCAATCATTGAAAATAATTCCCCCACAAAAATTGATATTTCTACAGTATCCAGGTTGATTTGATGCTAGACAGCCTATAGCCAGGCAGACAAACAGAAATCTTAAGTTTCAGTGCGTCGCCCCGTGACAGCCTTGACTAGAGCTACAGAGTCCATCTATCCCGTAGTGAAACCACTTATTGGATTTACCTTCTCTTCCCCATCCTCACTTCCACATCCCAACCCTTCACACAACACATTACCATATGTCTTATAAGTTAATTATATCATTCTAAAGAACAAACAAGCAACATATACTATGAAATAGTTTATTTTTGGAAGGGTTTTATTTTTATTTGTTTCATGGGTACTCAACGTACGGATTGTCCACAACCTGTCAAAATTAGCATAATTAGATTTATTGAGCTATATTTATCCATGGAAACTGGAATGACAACAAAATAACATTTATTTGGGAAAACCACAAAAATTGAGCCCCACGAAAATATCAGATTTTACAGTATGTGTTAGGGTCAGATATTTGTACACTTTAAACTTATCCGGTTATGATTTATGATTGTTTTCTATTTTTGTTTGAGATTTTCCTGTTGAAACATTGCAGATTTGTGTGCATTGTAATATATGTTGATGGATGTTTGATAGGTTTACAGTAATTTGTAAGAGAGTTAAATCAACAAAACTTTGATAAGTAGACTTGCAGGATTAATTACGATGAAAAAATATTTGAAAGTTTAAAGTTTGAACATTTTCATAAGACTCTTGAAAAGTTCTCTTTGTGATTAATTAAACATGATGAAATTTATATACTCTCTTCTGAATTGTCTTGCTGTGTAAGTAATCCTGCAATAATCAGGTCACATGACCTGACCTTTGACTTTTTAACCTTTGAATAATGGAAGCTTTCCTTCATTTCATATATTTATAGATTTGAAGTTTTAATTTAATAAGAATATAGAAACATTAAACAAAATAATTAGTCACACATACCTAAGAGATTAACATAAAATCCTTCATGAATTTGAATTCTCAGAAATCAAGCTGTTTTCATCACACTTCATTACATACTGAAATCAAAATTGATATTTCTGATATTTGATAGTCTGTTATCAAAAGTGCACACAACCTTATTAGGTTGCTGAAAATAGTTCAACAGTCTGTAGTGAGAAGTGTATACCTGCTATGATCCTGCCTTTTCACAAAGATGTTGTCAAGAAAGAACATTGCCTTAAATATTTTGTTGCGTAATTTGAATTAAGAATTTAATTTCAGTCTTACTATTGAAGAGTGCTTATATATACAGTATGGTTTTGGTGAAAGCGTTTTATTTTGTATTGGTGCAGTTGACATTAGTTGTTTTGTTTGGTGAATGGAGAAAATATGTGTAGGTTTTTAATTGCAAATCAATATTTCACTGTCCTGCAATAAGCCCACCCCTTGATTTTAGGTGTTTGTATGTTGGCTAAGGGTGTTGATTTTTTAGCTGCAATAAGCCCAACCACTGACCGTGGGTGAGAGTTTGTATGATGGCCCAGGGTATTTCATTGTCCTGCAACCTGGGCTTATTGTAAAAATTAGTGCGGTAGTAGGAGACATTAAGGGGACATAACTCCAATCCTATTGACTTCTTTCAAATACAAATATAAACATTTATTTTACAACAACTGTGAAACAAGTTATTTCAACTTATACTAATCACTATTGTTGGCCCGAATGTAAGTGCATGAGGGGTCAAATTGTGGAAGGAAACCGGAGTATCCGGGGAAAACACATGTGGTTGGGCAGGTGACCCCTTACATTTTCACGTCCATTCCAGGAATTAAACTTCAGAGAGCTACGTCAAATGCGAGTACACCCAACCCAGTTTCTAAACTAATTGATTAAGACTTAAAACAATTAAGAATAGTTCAAATATATAAAACTTATACAAGTTTAAGAATCTTTCAGTTTTCACATGAAGTAAAGTCAAAGCAATATGAGAACAAAGATATATATAAACTTTGGCTCGCTGGCAAATCTATAATGTTGAAATGGAATGGATCAACATCATTGATGAAATAATTTCTTGGAAGTTTATATATATGAGCTATTATTACTTGCCCAATATATTAGAAGTAGTTGTGTATCAGGTTTTTTATGCTGGCATATTTTTTCCTGTTTGTACTTTGTAGGATGACATATTTAACAATTGTGTTGCCCATTATTTACGGAGTTATCACCCTTTGTTAATCTTGTCTACAGAAGTTTGGTCAGAGATTAAATTATGCCAAACTTTGCCTTGTTATTGAGAACTCAATTGAAGTATTATGTTAGAAATTGTTGGTATAACTGTGTTTTGGAGGGAAACATACAGTTTTGTATTTTTGTCAAATTTAATTTTGTTAAATTGTCTTTATAGCTACTCTGATAAAAATCAAACCACTGTTTCTGAAACAGTAATTTGATATAAAATGTTACTTAATCAACTGAGATTAAAATGTCTTTTAAAGAATATTCTGGTATCAAATTAAAATGAAAAAAAGTACTTAATATGAATATTTGATATAAAATCGTTGTTTTTGAAAAGAAAGATAAATTGGTATATAATATTTATGTATACTGTTCACTGTATACCGATGCTGTGCTGAGGAGATTTTTCTATCATAGCAGCCATAATTTCCTGCAATTATTTTAATTTAGTGTTGAAAATACAGATGCATGCAGTTTGAAATTTGTTGTTTCGAAATTTAACAATCTTTCCGGCCTACAGAATCTGTGTCTGTGATGTACTTGTTTCTATTGCAATACAAGTCTATAGAATCAAGATTTTACCTGATGTTGTTCTCTGTGGATAATATTTGCTTCACTAACACTCTACAGCAATATAAATGTGTACTCTTTATAATGTATGTGTTTAATTATTGAAAATTTTATCCAGAAAATGCTGTCAATTTGTTCCAGCTGCGTAATTGTTATTTTCATTTTGAAGTATGAAATTAAACTTGTTTAAACCATATTAAATTTGAAATTTGTTTTCTATACATCCCATTACCATTCCAGCTTCAACTTTATCCTTTAAATAATAGGTTTAGACTTAAGGTATTTGACCAGTTACATGCTGAGGTTAAGGACTTTCAAGTTTGTTAAAATGAACCCACTTTTAAGGTCAGCTGTATTATAATCTTCAAACATGGTCTTCAGGATAACCAGAGGTCTGTAGCCATATTGGGCAACTAGCAAGCTGGATCATGTTTGATTTAATGAACACTCTTTCTTCAAACAAGTTGATAACAAAAAGGCCTGTGGTCATATTTGGGCAAAATTGTTCGAGAATATCCTTGACCGACTTTTAAGGTCACAGGGGTCAAATGTAGTATAGTCTTTAAATAACTTCTTGATAGCCAAGAAAAGGATGGTTAGTATTGTCCACTCCGATCTCTTAGTGCATTTTTAGTGACTTTTTAAAAATATCACAAATGTTAGCCATCTTGTTGTCAGAGCAGACCCAGAACATATTCTGTATAACAATGCCTCAAGATGGGCCTACATATAAAATATCAGAACGATCTATGTGGTAGTTCCTGAGAATTAGCGATAACAAACTTTGACTTCCAAAATCCAAGATGGCCGTCTGTTGGCCATCTTGTTATCGATCAGTTCCAAAAGACGATATGCATAACTAGGCCTCAGGTGTGACATACATGCAAAATTTCAGAAAGATCAATTATGCAGTTTTTTTAAACAATAGCGATAACAAAAATTGTTTGCATACGGACGGACGGAGAGGTAGTTGTGCATATTTGGACATGTGAGCTGCAGAAAGTACAAAGAGCACTTTTTTGTTGCACCTTTTAAAACCGTATATATGAAGATATTAATCCAAATCAATATGCGAGTTGCACTTCGTATCACTTTTGTCAATAATAAAAAAAAATCCACCACATGCACGAATGCTTCCAATAATGATAATTGACATTCTTCCAACACAATACATTTGTCAACGTTTTCATGAGAGAATGAATTATAAATTGTGTCTTTGTTAAAAATATGTTGGATTATGGACAGGTCATTTTAGACTTCACGGACAGTTTGGAACAGCTGATGCTCACAATTAAGGACAAGTCATCCTAGACGTCATGGACGAATCACCTCAGATGTTACTGACCGCCAACTTCCTGAATACAGTAGTGGTTGAAGCCCACAATTATGGACAAGTCTTCCAAGAATTAAACTCAGGTATTGCCAAATGGACAAAAATACATCAGATATTACTGTTATCATGATCATAAGATATCACAGCCATCAAACATGTAAATGAAGAAGTAAACTGATTTTCGTAAATTGTCCATTTTTTAATCATGGTACAAAGAAAATAACACTTTGGTTGAAGTTTCAATAATACAAAACAGCTTCAGAGTGTGATTATAAAGATCAAATTACACTCATGAACACAAACATGAACAAAGGTATTCGTACATAATTGTAAATTCAAATTTTCAACATAATCAAACAAACAAGAGGCCCGTGGGCCTTAACGATCATCTGACTACAAAACCTTACCCATGGTCAGATGATCTAAAAACGACAAAAATTGAAAACTTACTTTTCCAGATCTGGACACCATAAAAGAATGTCTAAAAAGGAAGAGCTATTTAGTATCAACCTAACCCATATATCATAACAAAAATTGTTTGCATACGGACGGACATATAACATGCTTAGCAGCATATGTCTACATATACAGAAGACTGAGAGTTGCCATGTTGGACGATTCAAACCTTCGAGTTTACAGCATCCATCATCATAATCATCATTACACGAACAAATGGATTAAAATGGGTAAGGATCGCTCTCGCGAGAACATCGCCGAAATCTGTATCGTATCAGAAATATTATCGCTAAGTTCAGAACACATTGACAATTCAACAACACCTCTGTCAAAAGAAGTTGTCATGGAGACTGACGTCAGCCCATGTGCAGTGACGGACAAACAGTTGGCAATAGATCCACATTTACAGATAGAAAAAGAAACGAACTACGCTCATTTTCATGCTAAAACCCCCCATCACGTTCCTACGTTGTGTTCACATGACATCACTGAAAGTGATGACGTATTTACTTTACGTGTACACGTTAAAAACTTACAGACACTGAGCAAAGCGAATGTTTCTCGTCATTTCTGTATTGTCATTTTTCACTAGACTTCCTTATTTCGTCCTGGCTCCACTGAGAAGTCTAAACTGGGATGTTTATTTCGCCCTTGACGATGACCTTGGTCCACAAGACGAGATTCTGAGAAGTTTATTGTTTTTAAACCATGCTATAAATCCTATTGTTTATGGTTTTATGAGCAAAAAATTTCGTAGAGGATATCTGAAAATGTACAAACTGCGTGTATTAAGAACAGCGATTCAATGACGTACAGAATACACCATAGCTTCAGGGTGTGATATTCAAGCGCACAGAAGTTGTAAGGATGTGTGATGTTTTTGGTTATGATGTTAAATAGATTTGACAAATTATTTTTATATTTTCGTTTTGTTTTGAATTCACCTAAATGTTGTTTCTTGTTTAAATCAATACATTATCGTAAAATTTTCTACTGTTGCGTTTCGTATTATTCTTCAATGTTGTATATTTGAGGTGACCATGATGTTAACGAGGAGTTCAGCAGAACTCAGCAACCTCAGATGGAATTCCAAGAAGTGTGGTTCGATCTTCATCGGGAGCGTTGAGCGTTTCTTGAGCTCTAGGAAGCCAAAGCGGAACAGTCCTTGTTGTCGTGGTTGTGCCCCTGGGCAAAATATTTTACCGGGATTGCTCCGGATAGCATTCGGCGGACTTCCCGCAGTTTGTTCATTGACGTAGTCACCAGCTACTAAGGAGAATACTCCCCAAGATGGCCACTGCTGTTCATGGCACCAAACAAATATTACGTGAGCTTATCACATAAGAACAAATTCATTCATTACCATTCTATTTCTAGTGTTTAGAAATTGACCATCTCAAATGAATCTTCATAAATATTACAAATTATTTATGTTACACTAACAACTACGTTAACATTTTCTTACAGTTCGAATGACTCTATGTTCGCTTTATTCTAGTTCAGAACAATATTGCTGTTTCCTATAAAGTAGTTTTTTTACTCAAAAAGAAAATTGAAGCTACAATGATTTCAGGACGGAGTCGTTCACCATAAAGAAAAAAATCATTTTTATTTAGACCACACAACACACAAACACGCGACGCACTCATTAACATACTTAAGGGATTCCGTCCTTATTCTAAATGATCAGAACTGTCGATGGAACATTAATATTAAACTTAGCGAAGTCATCTGCATATACCGGGAGGTCGTCCTTATCAATGGCCGGAGTTGTTTACAGGACGTTAAACAACATAAAACCAGACCTGGTCACAACTCGCCTACATCAGAGGGTCGTCCTTATCAATGGCCGGAGTTGTTTACAGGACGTTAAACAATATAAATCCAGACCTGGTCACAACTCACCTACATCGGAGGGTCGTCCTTATCAATGGTCGGAGTTGTTTACAGGACGTTAAACGATATAAACCAGACCAGGTCACAACTCACATACACATGAAGGTCGTCCTTATAAATGGCCGGAGTTGTAGACAGGACGTTAAACGATATAAACCAGACCAGGTCACAACTCGCCTACACCTGAAGGTCGTCCTTATCAATGGCCGGAGTTGTTTACAGGACGTTAAACAATATAAAACCAGACCAGGTCACAACTCGCCTACACATGAAGGTCGTCCTTATTAATGAATGACCAGAGCTGTTCACATAACGTTGTAAAACCAGACGAGACCAAGTAACCACTTTAACACCGGGAGGTTGTCCTTATAAGATTAGCACATTAGAGGCTCTGGGTTCGAATCCTAGTGGATTCATTTAAATAGATTTCATCGCCAACAGACGTTATTTCTCCATTTCGCAGGAAAAATGAAAAATGACTGGATATTTGTCTGCGTACTGCGGACAGAGATAAAGATGTGTAACTGTGATTTATTGATAACGCTACTGACCGTTACTGATAAAGATATGAGATATCTCTCATAAACTTTACACGACGGCGACAGTTGATGAAGCTACAGTGGACTTAATCTAGCAGTGGCTAACTATGGAGTCACGATATTGTCTGTTGTTGTGTGTTATAACAACTATATATAGTGGTATGTATATCGCGTAGTTATGACAACTGTATATAGTGGTATGTAAATCGTGTTGTTATAATAACTATATATAGTGGTATGTATATCGCGTAGTTATGACAACTGTATATAGTGGTATGTATATCGTGTTGTTATAATAACTATATATAGTGGTATGTATATCGTGTTGTTATAATAACTATATATAGTGGCATGTATATCGCGTTGTTATAACAACCATATATAGTGGTATGTATATCGCGTTGTCATAACAACTGTTTATAAAAGTATGTATATCGCGTTGCTATAACAACCATATATAGTGGTATGTATATCGTGTTGTTATAATAACTATATATAGTGGCATGTATATCGCGTTGTTATAACAACCATATATAGTGGTATGTATATCGCGTTGTCATAACAACTGTATATAAAGGTATGTATATCGCGTTGTTATAACAACCATATATATTGGTATGTATATCGCGTTGTCATAACAACTGTATATAGTGGTATGCATATCGCATTGTTATGATAACTATATATAGTGGTGTGTATATCGCGTTGTTATGACTACCATATATAGGGGTACGTATATCGCATTGTTATGATAACTATATATAGTGGTGTGTATATCGCGTAGTTATGACTACCATATATAGGGGTACGTATATCGCGTTGTTATAACAACCATATATAGTGGTATCTATATCGCGTTGTTATGACAACTATACATAGTGGTATGTATATCGCGTTGTTATAACAACTGTATAAAGTGGTACGTATATCGCGTTGTTATAACAACTCTATATAGTGGTATGTTTATCGCGTTGTTATAACAACTGTATATAGTGGTATCTATATCGCGTTGTTATGGCAACCATATAAAGTGGTATGTATATCGCGTTGTTATGACAACTATATATAGTGGTGTGTATATCGCGTTGTTATAACAACTATATTTAATGGTGTATATATCGTGTCTGGTTGTATTTTGTCTCTTCCTGAATCAGTTCTTACGACGATCATCAATATGTCACGTGCTTTACACATAAGGTCCCTGCATCACATTTTCATTTAGTTTCATCAAATCATCATCTTTCGTTATATTCTTCTTATTCTTTCTTTTTTTTAATTTCATTTCCGCGAGGATTAATCTACCACAAAAATAAGGGAATCTTCAGTGTTGGATTAGAATAGTAGATATGTAACGAGGACAATTATATTTAGAATTTATGTTACATGAAAAAAGAATGACCGCTGATCAGTATTTCTGGTTCTATCTATCTTGTGGACAGGTCAGTGTCTGTTTGTTGACAATGGCAACCCTTACACAGATGGACCACTACGTATTGGAGAGTTATCACTAGCGAAAACTATTGTCAAAAGTCCGCTTCATAGCAAAGGTAAGTGAACAACTAGCCACAAAACGTATGTCTGTCTGTCGGTCTGTCAGGCTCTCCGTCTGTCTGTCTGTCTGTCAGGCTCTCCGTCTGTCTGTCTGTCTGTCGGTCGGTCGTTCGGTCTGTCAGGCTCTCCGTCTGTCTGTCTGTCGGTCCGTCAGTCTGTCAGGCTCTCCGTTTGTCTGTCTGTCCGTAGATACAGTACGATATAATAAACTAGAATATTGATTATGTATGATAAACTAGGACACTGGTTATGTATGATAAACTATGACATTGGTTATATATGATAAGTTTTTTTACATGTAACAAGGACATGTATGATTCCTGTACATGAAGTATATCTAGGTCTTAAATGTTAAAGAAATGAATTACTTAAGAAATATCGAATATTGAAAAAGGTTCAGAAACAGATAATCGTTGAGAGGTGGTCTTGTTTCAGTTTTCTTTCCTCTGAAGCCCGACACATATGCGGCGGTATATTTTATCGGAGGCCTGGGAGGATTGGTTCCGACGGAAACCTATGAGATCTTCCTGTCCAAAGTTGCCTCGCATGGATTTTTTGTGTTTGGAGTCGACATATTATTTCCAGCTTACTCAGATTCTAAAAGAGCCTCAAAATTTCCAGGAAAGCGTACTGAAGGCGACACAGTGGAGAAGCTCTACAGCCAACTAGTTTGGGTAAAAATAACCATCAACGGATTTACATATCTAAATGAAACATGAATATTCATTGTACAGGTAGTGTGTGGGTTTTCTATCTCCTGTGTATTACTTATATCTGAAAAAAATGTCTGTTTGTGTTACACTTATATCAGTGTTTGAAATACCATACATTATTGACTCTATCACTTGTTTATCAACTTTAACGGAATACTACTGATTAGAGTGTTTTGATTTTAATATTTTCATTGAGAGTGTTGTAAACGAAGTCATTTTCTAGCTAAAAAGGTGACAGTATTTGAACGATGACGTCACTACGATGATGTCAGACGCAGACCCTATTTGTATCTAAAAATTCTCTGATATATGTACCCCGCTTAACGTGAATTTGGACAACTATTCCTCTGACAAAAATCTTATTTAATCTTTTTGACGACGCAGTTAAAGTCTTACATGCGAAACCAGACAGAATCGACGATAGATTGGAACCAATTGGCGCTGGTTTGTCACTCGGCCGGATGTGATGAAACACTGAGACTGATCCATGGAAACCACACAATGTACACGGTAAGCTTTACTGTCTTCGAATTCTGTGTGAAAGTTGGAAAAACCGAGTTGATGTTAAGGCAGAGAGCGAGTAATGTAGATACATTTAGCAAGGCTACTGAAAAAAAAATGATAACATGTCCAATTTGCCCGAAATGAAGTCAACAGCATTATGTTGTTTATTTTTTTCTTTTTTACTTTTTATTTCATAGAAGTTAGATATTCTTTATAAAGATTTGAATGTATCAAAGACTGATTCTTGTAAGTTTACAAAAGATACATTTTATGATTGATTTCAATCCAAGAGACCAGCATGAGTCAGCATATCCGACTGTTTTGACAGTATCTTAAGGACCAGCTGGAGTCAGCAAATCCGACTGTTTTGACAGTATCTTAAGGACCAGCATGAGCCAGCAAATCCGACTGTTTTGACAGTATCTTAAGGACCAGCATGAGCCAGCAAATCCGACTGTTTTGACAGTATCTTAAGGACCAGCATGAGCCAGCAAATCCGACTGTTTTGACAGTATCTTAAGGACCAGCATGAGCCAGCAAATCCGACTGTTTTGACAGTATCTTAAGGACCAGCATGAACCAGCAAATCAGTCTGTTTTGACAGTATCTTAAGGACCAGCATGAGCCAGCAAATCAGTCTGTTTTGACAGTATCTTAAGGACCAGCATGAGCCAGCAAATCAGACTGTTTTGACAGTATCTTAAGGACCAGCATGAGCCAGCAAATCAGACTGTTTTGACAGTATCTTAATTACCAGTAGGAGTCAGCAAATCAGACTGTTTTGACAGTATCTTAAGGACCAGCATGAACCAGCAAATCAGACTGTCTGACAGTTATTTAAGGGACCAGCTTGAAAGTTTCATAACAGTAATTTGGCTTTACCACTGAAAATTAATCCACATGGAAAATGGAACAGGTGTTATTTTTTCGTTTATTTTTCTTTAATTCTAAGGGAAAGAAATGATTTTCTATTGTTTGAAGTCGACTAAAAACGAAGACACCGGTACGGGAAGAAAAGTTTGGATCACTTTTAAGGGGAAAAATATTTAAATTCCAAGTCATGTAGCTACAAAAAGGAAATAGTATGAGTTTTCAAAAGAAGGAATGGATGAGGAAAGAAACTAGGGAACTTGCTCCAGTTTTAAAATGTTCAGAGAACATTGTCAATTCGAATAACATGTTTAGACGGTGAAATGAACCTGATTGTTGATACATTCGGACTCTCGTTGAACAAAAATACTATTTGCAGGCAGCAGCTTTTCTGGAACCCTACAGTAAGAACGCCAAGACACGGATGACGTTTCAAATGCCTGCATTGATGTACGGAACTGAGCTGTCGGAGGAGGGGGTTCATTGTGCTGTTAAAGGTTTAGACTGGAACCAATTCTACAATGTCTGGCAGTGTCCCAGGATTAAACTAGAGGCCATTGTACGTTTGTATTATCTGTGTGTATTGTCTGTGTATTGTCTGTGTGTGTTGTCTGTGTGTATTGTCTGTGTAATATCTGTATGTATTGTCTGTGTATTGTCTGTGTATTGTCTGTGTAATATCTGTATGTATTGTCTGTGTATTGTCTGTATGTATTGTCTGTGTATTGTCTATGTGTATTATCTGTGTATTATCTGTGTATTGTCTGTGTGTATTATCTGTGTATTATCTGTGTGAATTGTCTGTATTATCTGTGTGTATTGTCTGTGTATTGTCTGTGTATCATCTGTGTGTATTGTCTGTGTATTGTCTGTGTGTATAATCTGTGTAATATATGTATGTATTGTCTGTGTATCTGTGTGTATTGTCTTTGTATCATCTGTGTGTATTGTCTGTGTATTGTCTGTGTGTATTATCTGTTTGTATTATTTGTGTATTATCTGTGTGTTTTGTTTGTGTATTATCTGTGTATTATTTGTGTATTATCTATGTGTATTGTCTGCGTGTATTGTCTGTGTATTATCTGTGTTTTGATTGTGTATTGTCTGTGTATTATCTGTGTGTATTGTTTGTGTGTATTGTCTGTGTATTGTCTGTGTATCATCAGTGTGTATTGTCTGTGTGTATTGTCTGTGTACTATCTGTGTGTATTGTCTGTGTGTTTTGTTTGTGTATCATCTGTGTATTATTTGTGTATTATCTATGTGTATCGTCTGCGTGTTTCGTTTGTGTATTATCTGTGTATTGTCTGTGTATTATCTGTGTGTATTGTCTGTGTGTTTCGTTTGTGTATTGTCTGTGTATTGTCTGTGTATCATCTGTGTGTATTGTCTTTGTATTATCTGTGTGTATTGTCTGTGTAATATCTGTATGTATTGTCTGTGTGTATTATTTGTGTATTGTCTGTGTGTTTTGTTTGTGTATTATCTGTGTATTATTTGTGTATCATCTGTGTGTATTGTATGTGTGTATTGTCTGTGTATTATCTGTGTGTATTGTCTGCGTGTATTGACTGTGTATTATCTGTGTGTATTGTCAGTGTGTATTATCTGTGTGTATTGTCTGCGTGTATTGACTGTGTATTATCTGTGTGTATTGTCAGTGTGTATTATCTGTGTGTATTGTCTGTATGTATTGTCTGTGTATTATCTGTGTGTATTGTCTGTGTGTATCATTTGTGTATTATCTGTGTGTATTATCTGTGTGTATTATCTGTGTATTATTAGTGTATTATCTGTTTGTATTGTCTGTGTATTATCTGTGTGTATTGTCTGTGTGTATTGTTTGTATATTATCTGTGTGTATTGTCTGTGTATTGTTTGTGTATTATCTGTGTATTATTTGTGTATTATCTGTGTGTATTATCTGTGTGTTATTAGTGTATTATCTGTTTGTATTGTCTGTGTATTATCTGTATGTATTGTCTGTGTGTATTGTTTGTATATTATCTGTGTGTATTGTCTGTGTATTGTTTGTGTATTATCTGTGTATTATTTGTGTATTATCTGTGTGTATTGTATGTGTGTATTGTCTGTGTATCATCTGTGTATTATTTGTGTATTATCTATGTGTATCGTCTGCGTGTTTCGTTTGTGTATTATCTGTGTATTGTCGGTGTATTATCTGTGTGTATTGTCTGTGTGTTTCGTTTGTGTATTGTCTGTGTATCATCTGTGTGTATTGTTTGTGTATTATCTGTGTATTATTTGTGTATTATCTGTGTGTATTGTCTGTGTGTATTATCTGTGTGTATTGTTTGTATATTGTCTGTGTAATTTCTGTGTGTATCATCTGTGTATTATTTGTGTATTATCTGTGTGTATTGGTCTGTGTGTATTGTCTGTGTGTATTGTCTGTATTATCTGTGTGTATTGTCTGTGTGTATTGTCTGTGTATTATCTGTGTGTATTTTCTGTGTATATTATCTGTGTGTATTGTCTGTGTGTATTATCTGTGTGTTATTAGTGTATTATCTGTTTGTATTGTCTGTGTATTATCTGTATGTATTGTCTGTGTGTATTGTTTGTATATTATCTGTGTGTATTGTCTGTGTATTGTTTGTGTATTATCTGTGTATTATTTGTGTATTATCTGTGTGTATTGTATGTGTGTATTGTCTGTGTATCATCTGTGTATTATTTGTGTATTATCTATGTGTATCGTCTGCGTGTTTCGTTTGTGTATTATCTGTGTATTGTCGGTGTATTATCTGTGTGTATTGTCTGTGTGTTTCGTTTGTGTATTGTCTGTGTATCATCTGTGTGTATTGTTTGTGTATTATCTGTGTATTATTTGTGTATTATCTGTGTGTATTGTCTGTGTGTATTATCTGTGTGTATTGTTTGTATATTGTCTGTGTAATTTCTGTGTGTATCATCTGTGTATTATTTGTGTATTATCTGTGTGTATTGGTCTGTGTGTATTGTCTGTGTGTATTGTCTGTATTATCTGTGTGTATTATCTGTGTGTATTGTCTGTGTATTGTCTGTGTATCATCTGTGTGTATTGTTTGTGTATTATCTGTGTATTATTTGTGTTATATCTGTGGGTATTGTCTGTGTGTATTGTCTGTGTATTGTTTGTGTATTATCTGTGTATAATTTGCGTATTATCTGTGTTTATTGTCTGTGTGTATTGTCTGTGTATTATCGGTGTGTATTGTCTGTATTATCTGTGTATTATCTGTGTGTATTGTCTGTATTATCTGTGTATTATCTGTATGTATTGTCTCTGTGTATTATCTGTGTGTATTGTCTGTGTGTTTTGTTTGTGTATCATCTGTGTATTATTTGTGTATTATCTATGTGTATCGTCTGCGTGTTTCGTTTGTGTATTATCTGTGTATTGTCTGTGTATTATCTGTGTGTATTGTCTGTGTGTTTCGTTTGTGTATTGTCGGTGTATTGTCTGTGTATCATCTGTGTGTATTGTCTGTGTGTATTATCTGTGTGTATTGTCTGTGTAATATCTGTATGTATTGTCTGTGTATTATCTGTGTGCATTATCTGTGTATTATTTGTTTATTATCTGTGTTTAATCTGTGGATATTGTCTGTGTGTATTGTGTGTGTATTATCTGTGTGTATTGTCTGTGTGTATTATCTGTGTACTATCTGTTTGTGTATGGTCTGTGTGTTTATTTTCTGTATGTGCATTGCGTTTGTGTATTGTCTAGATCAGTGTTTGAGTGAAATGATGTTGAATTATTACATAAATAATTATAATAATTCATAGCTACTTTGGATATAACTGAGCAGTTTTAAAACGCGTACAATATGTTCGGAATCCTAAACCCGACAAGCTATAGTGATTTACGTCTGTGCTATAACATTCTATGCTAGAACGAGATAAAAAGATGATGACGAGGTACAGTGTTATTTTTCTCTCCAGGGATTCGGACATTGTGACATTCTGGATCCCGAGGCATGGGAAGGTAAGATATTTAAATCACAATTAACTGGCACACCAGGCAGGGTGTGTGAGTGTGTTGTGTGTGGATGAGTGGTGTGTTGTGTGTAGGTGTGTGGTGTGTGGATGAGTGGTGTGTGGTGTGTGGATGTGTGGTGTGTGAGTGTGTGGTGTGTGGTGTGTAGGTGTGGGTGTTGTGTGTGGTGTGCGGATGAGTGGTGTGTGGTGTGTGTGGTGTGTGGATGAGTGGTGTGTGGATGTTCGGGTGTTATGTGTGGTGTGTGGGGGTGTTGGTGTTTGGGTGTCGGTGTGTGGTGTGTGGGTGTGTAGTGTGCGGGTGTATGTGTGGTGTGTGAGGTGTGGTGTGTAGGTGTTGGTGTTTGGTGTGTGGTGTGTTTGGTGTGGTTGGTGTGTTTGGTGTGTTGTGTGGTGTGTGAGTGGGTGTGTTGGTGTGGTGTGTGGGTGTGTGATGTGTGGTGTGTGAGTGTGTGGTGTGTGGGGTGTGGTGTGTGGGTGTTTGGTAGGTTTGGTGTGTGTGGGTGTGTAGTGTGCGGGTGTGTGATGTGTGGTGTGTGAGGTGTGGTGTGTAGGTGTTGGTGTTTGGTGTTTGGTGTGTGGTGTGTTTGGTGTGTTGTGTGGTGTGTGGTGTGTGGGTGTGTGGTGTGTGGTGTGTGAGTGTGTGGTGTGTGAGGTGTGGTGTGTGGGTGTTTGGTGTGTGGTGTGTGGATGTGTGGTGTGTAGGTGTGTGTGGTGTGTGGATGAGTGGTGTGTGGTGTGTGTGGTGTGTGGATGAGTGGTGTGTGGTGTGTGGATGTGTGGTGTGTGGTGTGTGGGTGTGTGGGTGTGTGGTGTGAGGTGTGGTGAGAGGTGTTGGTGTTTGGTGTGTGGTGTGTTTGGTGTGTTTGGTGTGTTGTGTGGTGTGTGAGTGTGTGGGTGTTTGGTGTGTGAGTGTTTGGTGTGTGTGGGTGTGTGGGTGTGTAGTGTGATGTGTGGTGTGTGAGGTGTGGTGTGTAGGTGTTGGTGTTTGGTGTGTGGTTTGTTTGGTGTGTTGTGTGGTGTGTGGGTGTGTGGTGTGTGGTGTGTGGATGTGTGGGTGTTGTGTGTAGTGTGTGGGGGTGTGGGTGTGTGGGTATGTGGGTGTGTGGTGTGTAGTGTGTAGTGTGCGGGTGTGTGAGTGTGTGGTGTGTGAGTGTGTGGAGTGTGATGTGTGGGTGTTTGGTGTGTGAGTGTTTGGTGTGTGTGGGTGTGTAGTGTGATGTGTGGTGTGCGAGGTGTGGTGTGTAGGTGTTGGTGTTTGGTGTGTGGTTTGTTTGGTGTGTTGTGTGGTGTGTGGGTGTGTGGTGTGTGGTGTGTGGATGTGTGGGTGTTGTGTGTAGTGTGTGGGGGTGTGGGTGTGTGTGTATGTGGGTGTGTGGTGTGTGGTGTGTAGTGTGTAGTGTGCGGGTGTGTGATGTGTGGTGTGTGGTGTGTGAGTGTGTGGTGTGTGGGTGTTTGGTGTGTGAGTGTTTGGTGTGTGTAGGTGTTTGGGTGTGGGTGTTTATTTCTAGAACAAGGGAAGGTAAGATGATCATTCATTGAAAAAAAAAAGAAAAATTTGCAGAATATATAAAATTATCAATTTCCAATTACAGGATGTCACGTGACCCATTTCTGTAAGACAACCAATGATACACGGCTAGCAGAATACCGACAGTTTATCCAGGGCGTGGTCTCCAGCTTCCTCATGACGACCCTCCAGGGCCGAACTGACGCCATTTCATACATATCAAATATTAACAGCATTCCGCTTCCCGTCATGGATCTGAAGTCTGATTTCAACTGTTCGTTGATGAATTGAACGTGTTGAAACTTTAATAAAGAATTACTTGTATAATATCACCTCTTAGGATGTAAACGTTAAGTCCAGACTCGTACCAAAGGGACCTGACAACTTGCTCGACGCCCGTACAACATTATTCTAACCTTTGGGTTGCTAGGTCAACATTCAGTGAAAATGCATCACATATAACTGTGTATCTGACTATTCATTGATGATATACGGACCGTGGGGTTTCGAGTTAGTTTCAAGTCCCTGTGTATTTGGCTATTCATTGATGATATACGGGTGTTTGGTTTCTAGTTAATCCCAAGTCCCTGTGTATCTGACCATTTATTGATGATATACAGGTTGTGGGGTTTAGAGTTAGTGTCAAGTCTCTGTGTACCTGACCATTTACTGACGATATACGGGCCGTGGGATTTGGTCCCCGAGTATAAGGATATTTACTTATGAGGGCAAGACCACGTTTCGTTCACGTCAAGGACGAGATCCCAGAACTGAGGAACTATTATTCCATAAACGAAAGGCATGGACCATCCGGAAGTGAAAAACGTTGAGCACAGGAGCTATGCACTTTACCCGTAGCTAATGTTAATCAGAAACAATATGGCGGCATTTCATTTTCCGGAATTAGTTTGGCTTACTTTTGATCTTCATTAAAATAAATTAAGATAGTTTTTACACAAATGATAATGGCATGAGTTTAAGTTTCTTGATTTCTCCAATTTCCCTGCGTGTAACGCCAACCAATATGATGACGTCACAACATATACACAAGCACACAAATTGTCAACGTCACAATGTGTTATTAAACTTTATTGGTGTTTTATTTTCTTGATACTTTCAACCGAAAATGTCATTGTGGCATGTAAGCTTTTTCCGGGCACTGCCTAACTCATATTAGTAATGAGACTGTAGGGTTGAAAGTTAGTGCCAGGTCCCTGTGTATCTTGTAATTTACTTACAGTATGCGGACCGTGGGTTCCGCAGTTAGTGTCAAGTCCCTGTGCATTTGACTTGTTATTTACAGTACATATACAGACCGTGGGACATGGATTTACGCTTGGTACGGAGTCCTTTTTCATCTGACATGCGTATCATGTCGATTGGTCATGTGACGAATTTTACTCTTCAATTCGGTGTTATATCACCACAAATACTCCACATGCAGTCAACCATGTTACATCTCTAATTCTATTTCACTTCCGGTTGGTACAATTTAAGGATCAGTTGTAAACATACGAAACAAAACTATATTTTTAAACTTTTTATAATGAATATGAATAATAGCAAAGGCAGTTGGAGCGAGCTTAGTATCATAATTTATGTATTTAAATAATTTAAAGAAATTAATGATGGCGGCAGTAATCATTTAACCTAAAGTTTAAGGAACTTCCTATGTTGAGTATTGCATTTAATGTGTTCCTAACTACGTGTAGTTCATGGTGTTTTGTTGTTCTTAGCTGATCCTTTCGAACAATCTCTGTATGTTTGCCGAACAAGATACTATTTGCGTAGTCTATACACGTGATGGAGCGTCTTGGTGAGCGAGACTATTTGTAGCTTTGCTCGGCATGCTATCCGCCATTGGCGCGAAGCGTTGAAGGGAATTACACTTCCGTGTCATTACTTCATGACATAGTAAATGTGAATTTTTTTCTTTTTTTTCTTCGCACGTGTTATCTTCAGGGTTTCTTCCTTCCGAATATCAGTGTCCAATAAATGAATGCATTTGTTTTCCTTAATACCTTAATGAGTTATCATAGCACAGTCTGTAATTTTGATCCGAGAGTTCTATCATTTGGCTGTTTGACCTCTATATCAAATAAAACAAACTTATCTATCACAATAACAGTGGGCAAACTTCAATCAAGAATTACATGACAGGAGTCTAAATGACCAGCAGAGATTACCATGCCCTTTTACACATCATAGCAATTTCTCACAAATAATCACATATATTCTTTGTATCTTGTGTTTGGTTGCCTTGTGTTTTTCCTGGGTGTACCTGATATAGGACTCGGATTAGACCGTGACTTGATACCTAACCACTGTTCTTAAATTGTGACCTTGGAATACTCGGCAGAGCTTTAGACTGTGAATTCTGACACGACACGGGAATCAAAGACCTTAGAATTTCGTCTTCGTCAACGTTAATAATGATATGCTATTTTACTCCTTTTCCGAGCTTCTCCTTGATCTTTTTAAACCGGTGTAACAGGAAGGAGCACTGAAAACACTCTGCTATCGCTGGGGTTTGTACTAGAGCCGGACACTCTACCGATCGATTGAAGGGAAATTCCTACTAGCTGATGCTAGTAAGTTGACCTGTACTGTCAACTTCTACACTACTCCCTCCTTCATCACAAAGGATTCGACCCTGAGGACAACAACCCAGGTTCAATATCTCCAAGGAAGCATCTCAATCTCCTACAGCTTCTATCCATGGAGTAGCCAACGCCACCAAATCTGCAACAGGAAGGAGTAATGAAAAACACCCTGCCACCACTGGTGTTCGGACTAGCGACCCTTCGGTCCCAAGCCGGATACTCTACCGCTCGACTAAAAAGGTATTTCCTATTAGCTGAGGCTAGTATGGCGACCAGCACTCTCAATTTCAACATCGGGATCAGGTCCTGGTAACACTCCCAATTAACGTTATCAAAGAACCTTTCTTGGTAATCACAGTTTCAGGGTGTGGTTTTTACAGTGTTGACAACTTGTCCTGATACGCACCAGTTGAGGGGGTCGCCCAGCAGTTGCAGATGATCTTGGCAAGGTCAGACACCTCGTGTTTGATGCTCTCATTTCCTCATAGCAACTGACTCGCTGAAGAAGGAACCAGAACGGTGAAACCTGTGATTACCGGTGACATCAGTCCTAATAGTGATATTATTACTGACGCATCATAACGAGCTATCTTATTGTCCACAAAAAGTTACGGAATAGTTTTTAAAGATGCAATTATCTGTATTAAAAAACTGAAAAAATTGGAATATGAAACACAAGAGTGCATTCAAACAATTCCATTGATGGAATTCGTGGTCATTCTTGACAAAGAGCATCAGCAAGCATCTCTCGATTGACGGAAACCCGCAGAACCGGTTATGTGTTGCTGTAAAACGCATGCTCGATAGGGTTAAGGCCGAGTGAAAGACTAGACCATTCCATACGATAGTTTCTGCTTGAAGGTACTCAATATTCACAAGTCTAGCTCTATATGGTCGAGCATCGTCGTCCATCAGTTCAAACACAGGGTCAACCGCAAAGGGTCATACAATTGAATGAAGGACGTCAGTATGGTACCGTAACCGGTGAGGCTACCACCTTCTAGCACGTGTCAGTCAGACCGACCACATAAACTGATCCCTGCTCAAACCATAATCGAAACCCCCCCCTCCCCGCCCTCCATCCGAAACAGTGATATTCAGTGACGCAGGTACACCTCCCACACATCCTGCCATTATGAATGTTCACACAAAACCTGTACTTATCCGTAAAAGGAACAGGTTGCCACTGACGCAGTCGTCAATTTACATGGTCTACTGCCAAACACTGCCGAGCTACATGGTTACGGCGTGTGAGTCAAGGTCATACAGTGGGTCTATGAATGCGTAATCCAGATCTGTGAAGTCTATTCCTCACTGTTTGTCCGGAAATTCGTCCAGTTGTTCAAAGGAAGTCGTTAGTCAACCTAATGAAACTTGCAAACCGATTTCGCCTCGTCAGGGTGCTCAAATAACGATCCTGGCGGGCTGTCGTGCAACCAAGGTCTACCCGATCGTGGTCTCTAGGTGATGTTCTCAGCAATCTGCAATCGATTCCGAGAAATGAAACATTGAAGTGTACAGCCACAGCTCGTTATAATTGCCCTGCTTGCAGCATTCCGACTAATCGGCCAGCCTCTGTCATGTGACGTCTCATGATAACAAAAGTTTCAAACATGATGCAAAATGACAGGACATTCAGGATTCACAAAATCTGTTTATTTTTACCGAAAAAGTAGCGTGCAGAAAAAGACCTCAGCTATTTATGATCCTTAACTTTTTTTGTCCAGTATTCATGAGTAAACTTAATGATACACAAAGTTATCACAAGCAATGTATATTTTTGATAAAGTAGACTTTAGCCCAATTATACTTTGTATCCAGGTGCCTTACGTATACTCCGTACTCAACACTACATTAAACTTACTCAACATTACAATAAACGTACTCAATACTACATTGAACTAACTCAATATCACACATTACACAACAATATATAACACATACACAACAATATATTATACATACACAACAATATATTACACATACACAACAATATATCACACATACACAACAATATATTACACATACACAACAATATATTACACATACACAACAATATATTATACATACACAACAATATATAACATATACACAACAATATATAACACATACACAACAATATATTACATATACACAACAATATATTATACATACACAAAAATATATAACATATACACAACAATATATAACACATACAAAACAATATATTACACATACACAACAATATATTACACACAACAATATATTACACATACACAACAATATATTACACACAACAATATATTATACATACACAACAATATATAACATATACACAACAATATATAACACATACACAACAATATATTATACATACACAACAATATATTATACATACACAACAATATATTATACATACACAACAATATATCACACATACACAACAATATATTACATATACACAACAATATATAACATATACACAACAATATATAACACATACACAACAATATATTACACACAACAATATATTACACATACACAACAATATATTACACATACACAACAATATGTAACACATACACAACAATATATTACACACAACAATATATTACATATACACAACAATATATTATATATACACAACAATATATTACACATACACAACAATATATTACACACAACAATATATTACACATACACAACAATATATTACACATACACAACAATATGTAACACATACACAACAATATATTACACACAACAATATATTACATATACACAACAATATATAACATATACACAACAATATATAACATATACAAAACAATATATTACACATACACAACAATATATTACACATACACAACAATATGTAACACATACACAACAATATATTACACACAACAATATATTACATATACACAACAATATATTACACATACACAACAATACGTTAAACTTTCTAGACCATACTAAATAAGTTTGAAATGGTCGACAATATATTAAGATGCATACTACAATTAAAAAAAACATATATAACATTTATTTCATGATTAGAACATAAAATTTGGACCTGACAACCCTTCTATTAATGACAAACGCCAACCTCAGCTACTGCCTCCTACTCAATTCCTTTGACACTTGTTGTAACGCCAACGATTCCCTGCCGCCTACACTTATACAACGGTCTGATATCGCAGCACCAAAAGCTAACATATCACTCTGACTTCGACTTTTAAAAGTGACGCTGCATCATTCAGTGCTAAGTTAATTAGCAGTTTTCCTACAGTTTTGATAGTTAATTTGGAAGTGTGGTCAACGTTTCAACAATTTTTTAAACCTTGACATATGAAAAGTTAACCAAATTTGTTGAAATTATTATTAGGATCGGACGACAGGCTTTGTCTATATAAGTCCTTTCCAATTTAGTACATGAATACAATACATTTTCTTCATTACATAAAACAGCTTAAAGCAAGGAAGGGGAGGTAACTCTAATTTGTTATGGAATATAAGGCGCTTATCAGATTAATATAGTTGGAAGTATGCTTTAAGCATTCTATTTTCATTATGCAAATATATTGATAATTCGTTGCTGACAGTTGATAAGTGTAGTGAAAATTTAACCTATTGTGCAACTGACAGTGAAAATTTAACCTATTGATAATTTATCATATATTAATCCTGAGATTGAGGTCTTAATATCTAACACTTTCTGCAGACTTTCACTATAATCATTGTATCCGTCTTTCGTTCACAGCATAGTGACACACTCTTTACGTGTGCGGATGTCGTGGAGGAAGTAATTGTGATGATTGTTAATTTTTCACTGTCAGAATCAGTAAGGTTTTAACGTATTCGATGTTAAAGTAAACGTTACAATCTATATAGGTTAAGTTTGCACGATCACAACCACTATGGAAGAAACCGGCACTGTTATAGAAAATGTATGTGAGGTTTTCACTGTCAGAATGACAATAGTAAATGTTTCATTGACTGGTTCAATATAGATTAAATATTGAGATTGACTGTCAAAATCACTATGGGTAAAATTTTGACGTCAGGTCAATCCAGCTTGAATGTGTTGACCGGATAAACTAAATATATCTTGATGTATTGACTTGGAGCAATAAAAACACAACACCAGAAATATGGTTCATAGAAACACATTTATTTTATATGATAAAACTAGAGAAACTATAGAAATCAACATATCGACAAAGAAACCATCTAATTCTTGACCAATGATAAACCCCGTTACAATCAATCTAGACCAATGATAAACCCCGTTACAATTAATCTAGACCAATGACAATACCCGTTATGATTAATATAGAACAATGATAATCCCCGTTACAATCAATCTAGACCAATGATAATCCCCGTTACAATTCATCTTCAACAGTAGTACTAAATACATCAGTATATGTCCCTCACACTCACAGATACAACAATCGCTCATTTAAACAACATATATACCATTCCATTCACATAGTTTAAATTTTGATTGTCAGAATCCCTGTGGAAAAAATTCAGTCTGATCCACTATAGTTTCCATAGGCAGAGATGGATAAAACCTCGATTGCCAGAATCACTATGGGTTTAGTTTTCACCGAGTCCTAATCGGTTTTCACTGTCAGTTTCACAATAGGTAAAGTTTTCACTGTCAGTTGCACAATAGGTAAAGTTTTCACTGTCAGTTGCACAATAGGTAAATTTTTCACTGTCAGTTGCACAATAGGTAAAGTTTTCACTGTCAGTTGCACAATAGGTAATGTTTTCACTGTCAGTTACACAATAGGTAAAGTTTTCACTGTCAGTTGCACAATAGGTAAAGTTTTCACTGTCAGTTGCACAATAGGTAAAGTTTTCACTGTCAGTTGCACAATAGGTTAAATATTTACAGGCATTTGCACAATAGGTTAAGTTTTCACTGTACTTATTAACTGTCAGCAACGAATAACTTGCTCTCGTTTATCTTTGACACTGACCGTGTAATCCTCTTGACTGACTGGTATCTGTCTTTCGTCTTAAGTTTGGGAGAACTGATGGAAATTCCTCTTTCTACCTCGATCCCGATACAAAAAGGACCTTTTGCAGTTCAGTTGTCTGGTTGTAATTCACATCCGTCTTACTGGTCACATTAGAATCCGCTGATAACTAAGCTTTTTCAATGTTTATGTTCTGTTATTATCGTGGAGCAAACATTCATTTAAAAGTTGTGTAAAAACACTCTGCAATATTTGCACCGTATAGTTCTAAATTGTTTCTCATTGACCAAGGTGCCGTGTACTGAATCGCGTATGTAAGGGCCGTTCTTCCATGTTTGTCCTTAGCAACTGGATCGGCGCCTTTTTCAAGCAAAAGAGTTAATATCCTTTCTTCTCTGTTCCAGGACTCCAGTTTGTAGCTTCCATGTCGTATACATGCAGACATCAAAGCGGTCCTTCCCATATCATCCCGAACGTTTACGTCAACTCCACCGTCCAGCAAAATCCGCACGAGTTTAACTTTCCTTTGCATAACTGCGTGGAGCAACAAATCAGACTCTATCGTGAGATCACCAGCCATTTCTGCTGTACTCTTTGTAAGAAATCCGTGTTTTTTTATTTAAATAGTGTCCACGTATCTTGTATATACCGAGCTTGACGCAAATTGGTCAATGAAATATTTAAATTTACTGCTGAACGTGCGTGTGTGACAAGTATGATATCATCTGTTAAACTTCAAACTGTGATATTTCATTATCAGTTTGAAATAGGACATAGTTATTTTTGCCTACATTAAGTACGGGGGCTGTGATAACTCTGTCGGTTAAGATCCGTGACGCTCCCTACACACAAACTGGCATGGTTTGATTCACGGACAAGATACCTTATCCAATTAGTGTAGAAAGCATGTGACATCCCTCCCATATTATGTTCATTGAGGTAGCCACCAAGTAAGTGAAAGTATTTTCAGAATCCATAACATCTCTGTATCTATTTTTCAACTTTTATTTGTTCAGAAATAAAATTACGAAAAGTAGTTTATATACTGTAAAACAAGAATTTTTGCGAGGCTCATATTTCTCCCCCCCCCCCCCCCCCCCCCCAAAAAAAAAAAAAAACTATTTTGTGAACAGTTGATTTCTGGATTGATGTAGCCCAATAAACTCACTTATTTTAACGTTCATGGACATAAATTGATTAAGAGTATCCACAAAATTAACGAAAATAAGTCATCCGCCAAATTTAAGTATTTTAGAGTATATCAGGTGAAGTATGTCCTAGACAGGATGTAGTTATCTCCAGCGGATAAAAATAGCAATGATATCCTACACGTTTAGAGGTACAATTGTCTCATTTTGTGAACACAGAGAACGCTTTTATATACAGACTTGGTATTTCCGTAGTGTCTATGAATCTTTAGTGCAAACTTTGACAAATAACAGCTCTTTGACAAGTTGTCATGAGAGTTTTCTTTTCATTTGTCTTTGTTTTGTGTTCTTCTCGCCACTTAGTTAATACCTATATCCGGTGTATCGTACCGTGCTGATGATAGACAGTGTCTATTGTTTAAGTGCCTAGGTTATAACAATTCAGATGAGAACACTTTTCATCATCACTGTGTTGTTGACATGCACAATAAATGATTTACCCACAAGTCGACAGCACACCCCATAACAATGAAAATAACAGTAAGGTCATGACCCTTAACATTCATCAGACAAGCGGCGGACGAACGGACAGACCACGAAATTTGCTGATGGTGGTCTAACAAAGCTCACGAATTCAAATTTTGAACATGTCTAGAACTTATCCAAAATCAATCTCATAATGATGTTAGGTTCTGTTCATGAAAAAAAAAACAGTTGCGATGTACTGTTATAAAATGGCTACTGTGGTTGCCATGTTGACTTTTTTAACAAATGAAACTTCAAGAATTTTGAGTGACACCTGGGAGGTAGTTCAGACTATGATGAGTTATGTTGGGTTTTGGACCAAACCGAAAAATAGGATTTGATGAGAAAAATCTCAGGATCACTTTATGCACATTTGATATCATTGACACTCTCTGATAATGTTTCAGGCAAAATTTGGTTGAAATCTGCCCAGACATTAAGAAGGAGTGACGTTTTATTGAAATATATTGCCTAACTGCCCCTTAGGGGCCATGCTCTGGGGTCAAATCAACATTCTGAATTTAAGAAATTATACTTTAACCCCAAATATGTTTCAGACCAAAATTGGTTGAAATCTACACAGGCATTAAGAAGGAATTGCATTTCAAACAAAACATTGACTAAATGCTCCTTTCTGTGCCCTAAGTCCCAATGGGTTAAAGCAACTTTCTGAATTTAAGAATTAATTACCTACTCCTATTGAAAATGAAAAAAATTAAATGAAATCCGTATAAGCATTAAGAAGAATAGCTAAATTTTGACTAACTTCCTTTTTTGGGGCCCCGCCCCCAGGTCCATAGGGTTGATGTTGATGTTTCAGTCCACCTTTGGTGGAACTCTACCCAGACGTTTAGAAGGAGAAGTCTTTTCTTGGATATCTATGTAATTAAAGCTTTGGTAATAGTGTGTACATTTTTGTGTGTACAAACTAACTTACGTTGGGAGAAGTTCCGGGCCACTTGTTCAAAGTTATCAGATCGTGGCATTTTCTCGAAAGTCTCTTCAAAATGGAGATGAACGAAATCCTTAGCCAAGCATATGATGGCTTACATATGGCACTTCGTCTTTTCGTTTGTTGCCCGCGAAAAAACGTGTCGTTGATGAATTTTAAACTTGAAATTTGATAATTGACCTAGATTATACAACACAGACTAACACTGAATATACATGTACTATGGGTCGTGGATAATTAAACATACTCTGGGCCTTAGATTGATATTTTAAAAAAAGTTAAAGAACACAGTGTGTCAGTGGCCATAAATACATCAATTAAGATTCCATCGTTATAATTAAAAATCTTACTAGGGAATTTTAGAATTTAAGCACTTTCTTGATATATGTATATATAAATATTTAATAAGTAGATGATTAAGATTTAATATAATCTTTTGACAAATATTTTAGAATTTTGGTGGTCAGGTGGCACAGTGGTAACGATCTCGTCTTTCGAAGTTGTTGAAGGTTTTTCTTCCCATCAATGCACTGGTAGAATTGGTCCACGAGAACTATTCGGAAATCACACAGGAGGTAATATCGGTTAGGTATTTAAGTCTCCTGAAGCAGTTCCCACTAGATTGGGTAGAAATGGTTGTAAACAACTATTAGGCGTGCACTGGTCTGTTTATTTTTTTCATTTTTTAAAACATTGTCCGGTTTTATCATATTTATCAGAAGTACTAGAAGAAAATGTTATCTAATGTTCATCCTGGGACTATTAATTCACTTAATTATGACAGTCTTGTTGTCTTTGGTTTTAGTGAAACATGCAAATATGAAAATATATGTATTTTTTTGTAAATTTCGTTCTGAATGTGGAAAGATTTTGTGTCTTTATTATCGAAGTCGAGATAACATTATGTTTTTCAAGAAATACTTTGCAGATGATAAACATGTTTTTGGAGAAGATAAAAGGGTGAAAGTTGAGATACAATATATATGTTAATAAATGTGTTTGTTTTTCCAAATGTCAAGACCTGCGATTAAAATGCCAAATAGAACTGTGATTTTTAAAAATTCTTTAAATGCCTTTATCATTCTTCTTTGCACTGTAAGGAACCTCAGCGGCGCCAACCCTGAGACCCCTTTGCTGGTACATTAAATCATAAGTTTAAAAAAGAAGAAGAATGAAAAAAAAAAACCCAAAAAACAAAAACAATCCGGTTTCCCACAGTAAGACCCCTCGCACGTTTAAGACTGATTAGCATAAGTTTCAACTTGTTTCGCAATTGTTATAAAAACAAATAATAATAATAATAAAAAAAAAAAAATCAAAACTCATTTCAGATATCTATCGTCATATCTGACTGAAATTCAATGACTTTCGATAAATTTACTCTCGATGCGTTTTGGTGAAGTTTAAAAAGAAAGTTACAATTTTTAAGAAATAAATTCACCACTTCTAGCTAGTCTGTATCAATAAAATAACAAAGCTGGATCGGAATTTAAACAACAATGTAAAATTGTGCGACAAATTACTTACCATTTAGGAAGCATTGTGGAAAGAGCGGATATACGTTATAATATTTTGTGCATAACCCATTTGTAATATTTTTTAAACTAAAATAAATTTTAAACACATTTACGGAGAAAATATTATAAACACGATGTTGGTTCAGACTTATAACGTTTTGTTCAAAACTTCCGCATATCGTTCCCTTATTAACGTCCAGGTCAGGAGTCAAAGGTCACGAACGAGGCACACTGATCTCAACCACATCATGGATGGATATACGTGCTGCCGGCGTGGTGACAGTTCCCGAAGTGAAACGACGGGCAATGCACGTGTACAAGAAATGGTAAATATCACACGTATGCAATTATATCAAGATTGCAATGTTTATAGTTTTTACAGGGCAAAGTGTTGTTGAAAAACACGCCCCCTTAAATATACTTGTTATATATATATACACACACTCGGTGAGTGTTCAAGTACACGCTTACTGGTGTGTTTACATTGCCTCGTTATCGTTAAAGTCCAATAGACATTAGGTCAAGATAAACCACACCTGTCAACTGCTATATAAGCTGAGCTTACATTATTAACAAACAATACTAATTCATGAATTATATATTATGTACATCGGATATTGCAATTGTTTCCTATTTATGGGATTTTGCATTCAGGAATTTACTTTTAGTGAGCTGAAATTTTTGACGACTTCCATAAAATCACATATTCAATGGAAGGAAATTACAGTTACAAGAATATCTTATTACGGGCATTATCAGTGATAGGCCGTGAAGAGTATGAATTTAATTTCTTAGACATCGTCCTTTGTGAGTTATCTATAGCCTTACAAAACCCTACATTATCGTCCATTGTGAGTTATTTTTAGCCTTACAGAACCCTACATTTTCGTCCTTTGTGAGTTATTTTTAGCCTTACAGAACCCTACATTTTCGTTCTTTGTGAGTTATTTTTAGCCTTACAGAACCCTACATTTTCGTCCTTTGTGAGTTATTTTTAGCCTTACAAAACCCTACATTATAGTCCTTTGTGAGTTATTTATAGCCTTACAGAACCCTACATTTTCGTCCTTTGTGAGTTATTTTTAGCCTTACAAAATCCAAACAACTGATGCAGAAAAGGTCCTGGCATCCATCACACTTCATGTACTTCTTTGCTTCCTTCGAGCATATCTTGCAGTTATACTGTTCCTCCATCAATGCGTCGTTGAAGGACTCTTCCGAGTTGGATCCCAATTTGAAAAGCCGATTTCTTGCTACTTCTTGCACTTCCGGTTTTGTCTTTAGTCATTTTATCTGTTATTTCGCGTATATTTTCGTATCCACGAATTCACACTAAATCTAGGATGGTCTCATAATCACTTCCATACTATATATATCGATAATTACCTCCTTATCAGCAAATTATCGACGAAAATTACTCCGTTGGCTACGATGCATCCTCAAGTACGACTGTATCAATGGCATGACGTCTCAGTGTTATTGTAAATCAAACGTCTTTTGTCCGCTACTTGAAAATAGAATTGCGAAGTGATATCTGGTGTCTGCTAAGATTATGGAAAACGACTTTACCGTTACAGAATTGTTGCATTTTAATATTGATGACGTCACTTTGCAGCGCCCTCTACTCGGTACAAACCACCACAGACAGAATATATTACCCAGAAAAGACTATGAAGTAAGTGATTAAGCGTGAGTCATTCTTAATAACAAAAGTTTGTGTAAAATAAACAAAATACACATAACGTTGTCCATGAATATTTAGCTACATCTTATAGTTGTGTTTTAGAACTCTCTAGAGATGATAATAGTTTGTCTAAAAAAAGGTGAAATTATTAAATAAAGTAATAAGTTTTTAGGTTTTACAACATAAAGAGCAAATTACGTATGAAATAACAGTATCAGAATTATAAGCCCAACAACGACACAAGCCGTCTAAATCTGAGATATTTTAAGTAAGGTCACCTTCTTTAACTGAGAATAAGGGTTGTTTGACATCAGAAATTTATTTCATATTCGAAAGTAAGCAAATCTTATTCTGAAATCAAAGTTTAATTTGCCAATTACGAAGTATTGACTTCCATATTCTGAAATTCAAGTTTGTGTAAAGGAAAATCCGGAAAGTAACGGACTCCGAGTAAACCTCTCCTTTGTTTATGTCATTCAAACATTCCATCGATCGTGATTTTGTTTACGTCTCGGTATGTTTTTATTGTTTATATTAACAACCAACTTTAAGTCATATTACGTCATTGTTACAGAGTCTTGACTATGATCGATGCTTTAACAAACCGTATGAAGTTTATGTTGATGAACTTAGTCAACGACAGGTAAGTAACTAGACAGGTGAGAAAAAAAATGAAAAAAAAAACTAGCAAAGAATACTGTATTACATTGTATATGCTTTCGCGGGGTTAATTTTTTCGGTTGTCCCGGTTTGGGCTCGTTCACGTACAATGTTTGTCTATCAATTGATATCGATGTATACAGGCTTATAACACATTTTTTCTGTGATTTTGATCCCCAGTTATAACTTGTATGGATATTTAATTTTTGAGCTATCTTATTTTGTCGGTAATTCATCCAAAATAATACCCCACGAATATTACCAACTATACAGTATCTAGTAAACACGGTCGATTGTACTGAAATATAACATTTTATCTACGAGATTAGATTGTTAATAATAAAATAATTAACACGTTCAATTATCCTTAAAATATCTTCACGGAATTTAATTAATGTAAATACCTGATTAAAAATGAAATGACCAAAGGCGTCTAACAATCACTTATCATGGAATCCTGTATTTTGTGTTGATCTGTTGTTATACATATAGATAGAGCTCGTCTGAATACATAGACAAGTCACTGGTCAGAGGGGTACACTTTCCTTAGTTCTGTAGGGATATAATCGTTCTCACGATTTTGCTTTCAGTGTCAATCATACAAGTTTTCTAATTATTTTTTCGATGGTTTGTTTTTTTTCCACACAAAATATGAAGTTTACACGAAAAGTTATCAGAAAAATACTTTACTATCAATTGTCAGAAATTTATTTTACTGTGAAATGTCAGAAATTTATTTCATTATCAAATGTCAGAAATTTATTTTACAGTCAAATGTCAGAAATATAGTTTACAGTCAAATGTCAGAAATTTTACTGCCAAATGTCAGAAATTTATTTTACTGTCAAATGTCAGAAATTTATTTTACTCTTAAATATCAGAAATATATTTCACTCTCGAATGTCGGAAATTTATTCCACTGTCACATGTCAGATTTATTTTTTACTGTCAAATGTCAGAAATTTTACTGCCAAATGTCAGAAATTCATTTTACATTGAAATATCAGAAATATATTTTACTGTCAAATGTCAGAAATTTATTTCACTCTCAAATATCGGAAATATACTTCACTATCACATGTCAGATATACACGTCATCAGCACGTGTGAAAAAGCATATCAGAATAAAGGTCTTCCGATTCTCGTAATTAACATTGTTTATTTCTTTTGTTGTAAGCGACATAACAATAAAATGGTGGTTTTGTTGGAGTGAATTTGATAAGGTCTGTAACTTTATGGTAATGGCTTGTGTTTCAGTCTGCCACGAAGCTTGCGATTATAAAGTGGGTAGTCACCTTCATAGTTGGGTTCCTGACCGGAATGGTAAGTGTTGATGTCAATAACTTTGAGAGTGTTAACAAAACAATGTAGTTTGAGTGCTAATATGTGGAGGAGTAGAAAATCTGAGGATGAGATGTGGTGATGGAACTGACAGTTTTTAGAAGGTGATTAATTTAATTCGGAAACGAGAGACAAGCTTCAGAAAAAGAAGAAGTCATGATTCAAGATGATAACAATTTCAAATGAAATCTTCTTTAATCTGCCTCTCGCCATTTGATGATACAAGCTTTAAAAAAAAAAAAAAATTTTTTTGTGTTAATCAATATAAGGTCGCCGACAGATTAACGTTATGATATGGCTTCTAGCCGTCTGATGATACAATGTAAGTGATAGTGATTTACTTAAACAGCGGAATGATTTCAGTCGGCAATTATGGGTATATGAATGCCAACAGGATACAGGCAAAATCAAAATAGTACCTGATGTTGAATTCGCGTTTGTCCAGTTAGCGTTCATATACCCATGAATGCCAAATGAAAGCAGTTCAGTACTTATTTTAACCATTTTCAATTTCCACCTTATCATGGAGGAAAACATCCAGAGCTTGCTTACTTTACTTGCAATATTCCTATCCTGTTGGCAGTTCATAGGCTGGTAAGACACAACTGACTTTGGTAAGGCTACATCGTAGCAATGCCATGCAGTAATAGATAGTGTTTATTGTTAATTAATATGAGATTGCCGATAATTAGACTTGATGTATGTTTTTTTGTTGTGTTTTCACAGGTGGCGCTTTTTATTGACTTTGTTGTGAAGAAATTGTCCAAGTTGAAATTTGACACTGTTGAAGACTGTATCCTTGCGTAAATTTTACTAGACTTAAGCGGTTAATGCCTAGCAACAGATAAAGTAAAAGGGAAGGAATTTTCTGTTTCCATTTTGGAGAAGTTTGTGGGCGGGGGATCTTCGAACACTTTGATGGATGAAGCGTACCGCAGAATTTGTTTTGCCTTGCCTCTTGCATCTATTTTTATGTATGCTGCAAAAAATATCATGATATAAGGATCACAACTGTATCATTATACTTTGATATCAATGAAGAAAACCAGTACGAAAAAAAATGCAGAGCAGATACACCAGAACTGTCTTAGATACACCAGAACCTGTCTTAGATACACCAGAACTGTCTTGGATACACCAGAACCTGTCTTAGATACACCAGAACTGTCTTGGATACACCAGAACCTGTCTTAGATACACCAGAACTGTCTTGGATACACCAGAACCTGTCTTAGATACACCAGAACCTGTCTTAGATACACCAGAACTGTCTTGGATACACCAGAACCTGTCTTAGATACACCAGAACTGTCTTGGATACACCAGAACCTGTCTTAGATACACCAGAACTGTCTTAGATACACCAGAACCTGTCTTAGATACACCAGAACGGCTTTAGATACACCTGAACCTGTCTTAGATACACCAGAACATGTCTTAGATACACCAGAACCTGTCTTAGATACACAGAACATGTCTTAGATACACAGAACTGTCTTAGATACACCTGAACCTGTCTTAGAAACACCAGAACCTGTCTTAGATACACAGAATCTGTCTTAGATATTCCAGAACCTGTCTTAGATACACCAGAACATGTCTTAGATACACAGAACTGTCTTAGATACACCTGAACCTGTCTCAGATACACCAGAACCTGTCTTAGTTACACCATGACGTGTCTTCGATACAACAGAATCTGTCTTAGATACACCAAAACTCTCTTAGATACACCAGAACCTGTCTTAGATACACCAGAACTGTCTTAGATACACCAGAACCTGTCTTAGATACACCAAAACCTGTCTTAGATACACCAGAACCACACCAGAACCTGTCTTAGATACACCAGAACCTGTCTTAGATACACCAGGACCTGTCATAGATACACCAGAACCTGTCTTAGATACACCAGAACCTGTCTTAGATACACCAGAACGGCCTTAGATACACCAGAACCTGTCTTAGATACACCAGAACGGCCTTAGATACACCAGAACCTGTCTTAGATACACCTGAACCTGTCTTAGATACACCAGAACCACACCAGAACCTGTTTTAGATACACCAGAACCTGTCTTAGATACACCAGAACGGCTTTAGATACACCTGAACCTGTCTTAGATACACCAGAACCTGTCTTAGATACACCAGAACCTGTCTTAGATACACCAGAACCTGTCTTAGATACACCAGAACCACACCAGAACTGTCTTAGATACACAGAATCTGTCTTAGATATTCTAGAACCTGTCTTAGATACACCAGAACATGTCTTAGATACACCAAAACCTGTCCTAGATACTCCAGAACCTGTCTTAGATACACAGAACCTGTCTTAGATACACAGAATCTGTCTTAGATACACCAGGACCTGTCTTAGATACACCAGAACTGTCTTAGATACACCAGAACTGTCTTAGATACACCAGAACCTGTCTTAGATACACCAGAACCTGTCTTAGATACACCAGAACCTGTCTTAGAACCTTTCTTAGATACACCAGAACCTGTCTTAGATACACCAGAACCTGTCTTAGATACACCAGAACCTGTCTTAGATACACCAGAACCTGTCTCAGATACACCAGAACCTGTCTTAGATACACAGAATCTGTCTTAGATATTCCAGAACCTGTCTTAGATACACCAGAACATGTCTTAGATACACAGAACTGTCTTAGATACACCAGAACATGTCTTAGATACACCAGAACCTGTCTTAGATACACCAAAACTCTCTTAGATACACCAGAACCTGTCTTAGATACACCAGAACTGTCTTAGATACACCAGAACCTGTCTTAGATACACCAGGACCTGTCTTAGATACACCAGAACCTCTCTTAGATACACCAGGACTTGTCTTAGATACACCAGAACCTGTCTTAGATACACCAGAACCTGTCTTAGATACACCAGAACGGCCTAAGATACACCAGAACCTGTCTTAGATACACCAGAACGGCCTTAGATACACCAGAACCTGTCTCAGATACACCAGAACCTGTCTTAGATACCTGTCTTAGATACACAGAATCTGTCTTAGATATTCCAGAACCTGTCTTAGATACACCAGAACATGTCTTAGATACACCAGAACCTGTCTTAGATACACAGAACATGTCTTAGATACACAGAAATGTCTTAAATACACCTGAACCTGTCTTAGAAACACCAGAACCTGTCTTAGATACACAGAATCTGTCTTAGATATTCCAGAACCTGTCTTAGATACACCAGAACATGTCTTAGATACACAGAACTGTCTTAGATACACCTGAACCTGTCTTAGATACATCAGAACCTGTCTTAGTTACACCATGACCTGTCTTCGATACACCAGAATCTGTCTTAGATACACCAGAACTCTCTTAGATACACCAGAACTGTCTTAGATACACCAGAACATGTCTTAGATACACCAGAACCTATCTTAGATACACAGAACCTGTCTTAGATACACCAGAACCTGTCTTAGATACAACAGAACATGTCTTAGATACACCTGAACCTGTCCTAGATATACCAGAACTGTCTTAGATTAACCAGAATTGTCTTAGATACATCATAACTGTCTTAGATACACCTGAACCTGTCTTAGATACACCTGAACCTGTCTTAGATACACAGAACATGTCTTACATACACGAGAACCTGTCTTAGATACACCTGAACCTGTCCTAGATACACCAGAACTGTCTTAGATACATCAGAACCTGTCTTAGATACATCAGAACCTGTCTTAGTTACACCAGGACCTGTCTTAGATACACCAGAACATGTCTTAGATACACAAAATCTGTCTTAGATACACCAGAACTGTCTTAGATACACCAGAACTGTCTTAGATACACCAGAACTTGTCTTAGATACACAAGAACCTGTCTTAGATACACCAGAACCTGTCCTAGATACACCAGAACCTGTCCTAGATACTCCAGAACCTGTCTTATATACACAGAACATGTCTTAGATACACCAGAACTGTCTTAGATACACAAAATCTGTCTTAGATACACCAGAACTGTCTTAGATACACAGAACCTGTCTTAGATACACCAGAACTGTCTTAGATACACCAGAACCTGACTGATGTACACCAGAACTGTCTTAGATACACAGAATCTGTCTTAGATATTCTAGAACATGTCTTAGATACACCAGAACCTGTCCTAGATACTCCAGAACCTGTCTTATATACACAGAACATGTCTTAGATACACCAGAACTGTCTTAGATACACATGAACCTGTCTTAGATACACCAGAACCTGTCTTAGATACACCAGAACTGTCTTAGATACACCAGAACTGTCTTAGATACACCAGAACCTGTCTTAGATACATCTGAACCTGTCTTAGATACACCAGAACTGTCTTAGATACACCAGAACCACACCAGAACCTGTCTTAGATATACAGAACCTGTCTTATACACCAGAACCTGTCTTAGATACACCAGAACCTGTCTTAGATACACCAGAACCTGTCTTAGATACATCAGAACCTGTCTTAGACACACCAGAACCTGTCTTAGATACACCAGAATCCTGTCCTAGATACACCAGAACCTGTCTTAGATACACCGGAACCACACCAGAACCTGTCTTAGATACACAGAACCTGTCTTAGATACACAGAACCTGTCTTATACACCAGAACCTGTCCTAGATACACCAGAACCTGTCTTAGATACACCAGAACCTGTCTTAGATACACCAGAACCTGTCTTAGATACACCAGAACTGTCTTAGATACACCAGAACCTGTCTTAGATACACCAGAACCACACCAGAACCTGTCTTAGATACACCAGAACCTGTCTTAGATACACCAGAACCTGTCTTAGATACACCAGAACCTCTCTTAAATACACCAGGACCTGTCTTAGATACACCAGAACCTGTCTTAGATACACCAGAACGGCCTTAGATACACCAGAACATGTCTTAGATACACCAGAACGGCCTTAGATACACCAGAACCTGTCTCAGATACACCAGAACCTGTCTTAGATACACAGAATCTGTCTTAGATACACAGAATCTGTCTTAGATACACAGAACCTGTCTTATACACCAGAACCTGTCCTAGATACACCAGAACCTGTCTTAGATACACCAGAACCTGTCTTAGATACACAGAACCTGTCTTAGATACACAGAACCTGTCTTATACACCAGAACCTGTCCTAGATACACCAGAACCTGTCTTAGATACACCAGAACCTGTCTTAGATACACCAGAACCTGTCTTAGATACACCAGAACCTGTCTTAGATACACAGAACATGTCTTAGATACACCAGAACTGTCTTAGATACACATGAACCTGTCTTAGATACATCAGAACCTGTCTTAGTTACACCAGGACCTGTCTTAGATACACCAGAACCACACCAGAACTGTCTTAGATACACAGAATATGTCTTAGATACACATGAACCTGTCTTAGATACATCAGAACCTGTCTTAGTTACACCAGGACCTGTCCTAGATACACCAGGACCTGTCTTAGATACACCAGAACATGTCTTAGATACACATGAACCTGTCTTAGATACACAAGAACTGTCTTAGATACACATGAACCTGTCTTAGATACATCAGAACCTGTATTAGTTACACCAGGACCTGTCCTAGATACACCAGAACCTGTCTTATATACACAGAACATGTCTTAGATACACCAGAACTGTCTTAGATACACATGAACCTGTCTTAGATACATCAGAACCTGTCTTAGTTACACCAGGACCTGTCTTAGATACACCAGAACATGTCTTAGATACACAAGAACCTGTCTTAGATACACCAGAACCTGTCTTAGATACACCAGAACCTGTCCTAGATACACCAGAACCTGTCCTAGATACACCAGAACCTGTCTTAGATACACCAGAACCTGTCATTTGTACAGCTCTACACCAAAATAAACTAACTCGTCCTTCACGTCCTATGTAAATTCTTTTCATTTTTTTTATTTTCATATTTTGCCCTCGTCTTATCGATTGTGAATTTGAATTAAGATTTCTTAATGTTATTGTTTTTCCTAGTACGGGTAGTTATTATAGAACTGATCGCAATATATCTACGTCAACGATTTATATTGTGATGTTGTTTGCCTTAACCACTGTCTAGCTATTCTACAATGTTCTCGAGACGGATGTCTTGTTCTATCCCTAATATACTTGCTTTTATTCAACGTAGGTTTTGTGATAGTAGCCTCCAGCCTAGTGGTCATAGAGGTATGTAACCTTTTACTAAGGAGATACTGTGAAATAATTTATTTTCGCGAGACTCAATATTTGTGGTTTCAAAAAATAAGAAACAATGTCATGGATAGATATATGTATAGCTCAATAATTTTACTTATTCTAATTTTAACAATTCGTGGACATATGAATTCGTGGATTAAGTGTAACCACGACACCAAAGAAAATAAATCCCCCGCGAAAACGTATGATTTTGCAGTATCTAATGTCTTTTTATAGTAATATAGACTGCACAAATGACTTGCACTTGATAGTATCTTTCAATTCAAGTTAGAGTTAGAAAAAGTTGAGCTATACAATGAATTTTTATGGTATCATAAGCTGTTTGGTCATGTAAAGTCCTTAGAGGGGATTTAGGGAAATTCCAATCGGCCGAGCAATAAATGGTGAGTCATTGACACTCATTTTAGAGAAACATCAGTTTCGTGGGTAGACCGTGCCAGTATTTAAATTTTTAAATTAAAAAATGGTACGCAGAGTTCACCAACAGTGTCTACCCATTGCTGTCTCAACATCTAACATTTCAGACATTACATTTCTATCACTCGTATTCCAAACCAAAACACGTTTGATTTTCAGCCAATTGCTGGAGGTTCGGGTATCCCGGAAATCAAATGCTATCTGAACGGGATCAAAGTTCCTCGGGTTGGACGTCTTCTGACTTTGGTCAGTAAGAGTATAGGCGTTCTCTTCAGTGTGGCAGGAGGTAAGTACAGGCTGTTTTTATTTTTATTAAGAGTTTTAAAAAAACAGATTTTATCTGAACGCCACAAAAATGATACATTGATATTGTCTGTCGTGTTTTTCACGTCCAGAAACTTTCTTGATATGTGCTTATGTCATTTCTAATCAGACAAACGTCTCAATAAATGTCGACTAGATCAATATTTCCAGTACTTGCATATTTCTTACGAGCGTGATTTTCTGGACTTTCTTGGCGAGTTTGAGTTTTTCTTCAGCTGTAAAACAACAAGAAAATACCAACATGTCAATATAATCATAATTCAAACTAAAATTCCATAAAACTACGGCAAAATATGAACAAAAGAAAAACTTACTCGGAGACTCCTGAAAAAGCAATAGGAGGATAAGACCAGGTGTTCCGGAAGAATAAGCGTTTTTTACTTCATCGACGACACTCGCCATATAATTCTTTGTCAATCCAAGTTTTGTCGGCTTCTCAAATGAGAACAAGGTATACAACAGCGGAATCAACAGGCAAACTAACGAGCATCAAACACGTCAAGCGTCATGTCACATAAAGAAATAAACCATTTTTATGAGATCACTATGGCGACTGTAAGCCCGTCAGTTTACGGCTTCTTGCATTAAAATCGTGATGACGGGAAAAGGACCTTGAATCGAAAATCATTTGAGACATGTTAACGCCATAGGTTGGGGATGCAGGGATTGCTCCAGGTATGATGAATTTATCGAACGGAATCGAATAACGGTAATTTTGATAACACAGGAATGTTGACAGAAAACATTGTCTGTAGAAGCTATCTGTGCTTTTCTGGTTTGTGCGAGACACCGATTATAACCTGTAGTTGTACACCTATAGTTCCAGCATTGCCTTCTTGTGGCTGGACTTTTTCCTTTCAGTTGTTTTTCATTTGGCACAATTTTGACAACCATATTATCCTGTGTTATATATTAAGAAATTAAGTAAATCAATGAATTTTTATTTCAAATAATAAGATTTCACAATTTTGATTTATTTCAGGGTTGTTTGTTGGTAAGGAGGGGCCTATGATTCACAGCGGCGCGATCATCGGAGCAGGCGTTCCTCAGGTTGGTGTTATCTCAGCGTGAGGTTTGATGATTCTACGTGATTGTATGACGTTCTAAATTGACCTTTCAAAACCTGTAGATGGAAGAACTCTGAGTCAGTTTTCACCAACGTGGATTTAAACCGATGAATATCTTGATATAAAGTTGTGATTTTTCCAACAGCGGTATATGATCAATGACGTAATTGCGACAGCACGGACAAGCGAATTGTCAAATTTTCGAGGCAATCTGTCCCTTTATCAAGACACAGAAATATTACATAAATTACATCACATACATAGGACATAAAGGGAAGGTATAGACTTAAATCCAGAACGGTAGTACAATATATGTATACAAACACATATGTATATGATTATATATGAGGATGTGGGAGTGGGTGTGTAGGAAAGATTTTTTTTTTCATGAAACAAATACTTTAAAGATAAATAATCAATTAAGAATAATTCACAATTTACTACAATGAACATGTCAATATTCTGTTTTATTTCAGTTCCAAAGTATTGCGTTTAAGAAGGTGAATTTGAAGAAATATAGTTTCTTCCGTACAGACAGGTACGTTAACATAGACTTGTATGTAGGTATTACATACAGAAATATTGTTCCTTCCGTACAGACAGGTACGTTAACATAGACACGTATGTATGTATTACATACATAAATATAGCTCCTTCCGTACAGACAGGTACGTATATCTAGACTTGTATGTAGGTATAACATACAGAAATATAGTTCCTTCCGTACAGACAGGTACGTATATCTAGACTTGTATGTAGGTATAACATACAGAAATATAGTTTCTTCCGTACAGACAGGTACGTTAACATAGACACGTATGTAGGTATTACATACAGAAGTATAGTTACTTCCGTACAGACAGGTATGTATATCTAGACTTGTATGTAGGTATTACATACAGAAATATAGTTCCTTCCGTACAGACAGGTACGTTAACATAGACTTGTATGTAGGTATTACATACAGAAGTATAGTTCCTTCCGTACAGACAGGTACGTATATCTAGACATGTATGTAGGTATTACATACAGAAGTATAGTTCCTTCCGTACAGACAGGTACGTTAACATAGACTTGTATGTAGGTATTACATACAGAAATATAGTTTCTTCCGTACAGACAGGTACGTTAACATAGACACGTATGTAGGTATTACATACAGAAATATAGTTTCTTCCGTACAGACAGGTACGTATATCTAGACTTGTATGTAGGTATTACATACAGAAATATAGTTTCTTCCGTACAGACAGGTACGTTAACATAGACTTGTATGTAGGTATTACATACAGAAATATAGTTCCTTCCGTACAGACAGGTACGTAAGTCTAGACTTGTATGTAGGTATTACACACAGAAGTATAGTTCCTTCTGTACAGACAGGTATACAGTATACTTCAGTGATTGACACATCGTTCATTGCCTTTCCCCTGGCTTATCAGTATTCACGAAAACAACGAAATTTCCTACACAACGGACATATGATATTACATACGACTTCGATGAATCCAGCAGCATACAGAATGACTTGTTTTAAAGTTTGAAGCTATGAAACTATTATTACACTCTTAACGACCCGTCAACACATAAAATGGTCACTGGGGCCATCAACCGGTGAACGACACGGTGATCCAAAGTTAGTAAATTGATTTGAATTATATTTAACCATTGGTATCGTAATGATTTACACTCTGTTTTATTTGAAATATCCTCTTGCCAAATATAACTTTTTTTTATATAAAAAATGTCTCTTGACAATTCATGACGTCTTCATGTGACAACGATAGTATTAATTTTAAAGCTTTATTCGTTTTAAGCTCTCTATTAACACACAAGCAACAATTACACTTTTTTTTAAATTTGCAAACTACCAACGTCATCGCAAAACCATTTTTCTATATTTACCTGGTAACTACAGAGACAAACGAGATTTTGTTTCCGGTGGAGCAGCAGCAGGTGTGGCAGGTAAGATTTGATACCCTTTGACGTCAGGCAACTTTTCAATGTTTAATTTCCTGACTAATCTTTTGTTTTTCTTAATTTATCAAAAAAAAAAAAAAAAAAAAAAAAAAAAAAATATATATATATCATTTCCTGGTTTTTCATATTCTATATCTGCTTGTACACACAAGTCAATAGTACCTCACAAATTCAGTACTGAACAAATAATAGTAGAACTGAAAAAATGCATTTAACTGCATCATATATTGTCAGAATACCAGGGACAAATTAATGTAAAAATCTTTTGAAATAAAACGCATGCGTACCAGATATATCCTAAATGAACAACTAAACGGATTAGTTCATATCCAAAAATACTACGGATTAGTTCATATCCAAAAATAGTACGGATTAGTTCATATCCAAAAATGGTACGGATTAGTTCATATCCAAAAATAATACGGATTAGTTCATATCCAAAAATAGTGCGGATTAGTTCATATCCAAAATAGTGCGAATTAGTTCATATCCAAAATAGTGCGGATTAGTTCATATCCAAAATAGTGCGAATTAGTTCATATCCAAAATAGTGCGAATTAGTTCATATCCAAAATAGTGCGAATTAGTTCATATCCAAAAATAGTGCCGATTAGTTCATATCCAAAATAGTGCGAATTAGTTCATATCCAAAATAGTGCCGATTAGTTCATATCCAAAATAGTGCGAATTAGTTCATATCCAAAAATAGTGGAATTAGTTCATATCCAAAATAGTGCGAATTAGTTCATATCCAAAAAAGTGCGAATTAGTTCATATCCAAAATAGTGCGAATTAGTTCATATCCAAAAATAGTGCCGATTAGTTCATATCCAAAAATGGTACGGATTAGTTCATACCCAAAAATAGTACGGATTAGTTCATATCCAAAAATGGTACGGATTAGTTCATATCCAAAAATGGTACGGATTAGTTCATATCCAAAAATAATACGGATTAGTTCATATCCAAAATAGTGCGAATTAGTTCATATCCAAAAATGGTACGGATTAGTTCATATCCAAAAATGGTACGGATTAGTTCATATCCAAAAATGGTACGGATTAGTTCATATCCAAAAATAGTACGGATTAGTTCATATCCAAAAATGGTACGGATTAGTTCATATCCAAAATAGTGCCGATTAGTTCATATCCAAAATAGTGCCGATTAGTTCATATCCAAAGTAGTGCGGATTAGTTCATATCCAAAATAGTACGGATTAGTTCATATCCAAAATAGTACGGATTAGTTCATATCCAAAAATAGTGCCGATTAGTTCATATCCAAAATAGTGCGGATTAGTTCATATCCAAAATAGTACAGATTAGTTCATATCCAAAATAGTACGGATTAGTTCATATCCAAAAATAGTACGGATTAGTTCATATCCAAAATAGTGCGAATTAGTTCATATCCAAAAATAGTACGGATTAGTTCATATCCAAAATAGTGCGAATTAGTTCATATCCAAAATAGTGCGAATTAGTTCATATCCAAAATAGTACGGATTAGTTCATATCCAAAATAGTGCGAATTAGTTCATATCCAAAATAGTGCCGATTAGTTCATATCCAAAATAGTACGAATTAGTTCATATCCAAAATAGTACGGATTAGTTCATATCCAAAATAGTGCGAATTAGTTCATATCCAAAAATAGTACGGATTAGTTCATATCCAAAATAGTGCGAATTAGTTCATATCCAAAAATAGTGCCGATTAGTTCATATCCAAAAATGGTACGGATTAGTTCATATCCAAAAATAGTACGGATTAGTTCATATCCAAAATAGTGCGAATTAGTTCATATCCAAAAATAGTGCCGATTAGTTCATATCCAAAAATGGTACGGATTAGTTCATATCCAAAAATAGTACGGATTAGTTCATATCCAAAATAGTGCCGATTAGTTCATATCCAAAAATGGTACGGATTAGTTCATATCCAAAATAGTGCCGATTAGTTCATATCCAAAAATAGTGCATCATAAATTCTACACCTAATTATAGTTTGGTGGTCATCGGTCAAATCTATTTATTTTCAAAATTAAAGTTTAATCACTTTTTAAAAGAAAAGTACATATATACATATATATTTATAAACCATCTCATAAGTCCATCAAAAGATTGTATATGCAATCATTTTTTCTATCTTGATATTCAAGTATAGATATGGTTGAAGAGCCCTAGGTTTAGTCCCTGAACAAGACGTTATCTTCTCGTAGGAAGGCTTGTGTATGTCTCTAACTTCCATTCCATGGGTACAATTATGTGTATATATCACATTTTCACATTTAATATTTAGAAATTGCTTTAATAGCGCATTATTTAGTAACATATACATGAATATAAAAAAAATCGACAAATATATACTTTTACATGGCTCTACTAGTTCCGGAGCTACTGTCAATCAGTTTAGATTTTTGTCTATTTTCGTATTTTGATATCTTACATGTAACATGTTGTCTCATGACACAGCTGCCTTTGGAGCTCCAATAGGAGGGGTGTTGTTCAGTCTGGAGGAGGGATGTTCCTTCTGGAACCAGTCCCTCACCTGGAGAACTGTGAGTAGAAAATTAGTGTTTTCTTTGTACTATTCGTGTACTGATATACATATATATTTACGATATTTTTCAATAAAATACGTTTAACTGATAAACAGTGGAAATGTTGAAGTCGTACGTACGATATATCGTCATACACGTGATGTATGAAGTCGTACGTACGATATATCGTCATACGCGTGATGTATGAAGTCGTACGTACGATATATCGTTATACACGTGATGTATGCAGTCGTACGTTCGGTATATCGTCATACACGTGATGTATGATGTCGTACGTACGAGATTTCGTTATACACGTGATTTATTAAGTCGTACGCACGAGATATCGATATACACGTGATGTATGGAGTCGTACGTACAAGATGTCATCATACACGTGATGTATGAAGTCGTACGTACGATATATCGTCATACACGTGATGTATGGAGTCGTATGTATGGTATATCGTTAAACACGTGATGTATGAAGTCATACGTACGAGGTATCGTTATACATGTGATGTATGGAGTCGTACGTACGATATATCGTCATACACGTGATGTATGAAGTCGAACGTACGGTATATCGTCATACACGTAATGCATGAAGTCATACGTACGGTATATCGTTATACACGTGATTTATTAAGTCGTACGTACGGTATATCGTCATACACGTGATTTGTTAAGTCGTACGTACGATATATCGTCATAAACGTGATGTATGCAGTCGTACGTACGATATATCGTTATACACGTGATGTATGAAGTCGTACGTACGATATATCGTCATACACGTGATGTATGTAGTCGTATGTACGGTATATCGTTAAACACGTGATGTATGAAGTCGTACGTACGATATATCGTTATACACGTGATGTATGAAGTCGTACGTACGATATATCGTCATACACGTGATGTATGTAGTCGTATGTACGGTATATCGTTAAACACGTGATGTATGAAGTCGTACGTACGATATATCGTCATACACGTGATGTATGTAGTCGTATGTACGGTATATCGTTAAACACGTGATGTATGGAGTCGTATGTACGGTATATCGTTAAACACGTGATGTATGAAGTCGTACGTACGATATATCGTCATACACGTGATGTATGGAGTCGTATGTACGGTATATCGTTAAACACGTGATGTATGAAGTCATACGTACGAGGTATGTTATACATGTGATGTATGAAGTTGTACGTACGAGGTATGTTATACACGTGATGTATGAAGTCGTACGTATGAGGTATCGTTATACATGTGATGTATGAAGTCGTTTGTATGAGATGTCGTCATACATGTGATGTATGAAGTCGTACGTATGAGATGTCGTCATACACATGATGTATGAAGTCGTACGTATGAGATGTCGTCATACACATGATGTATGAAGTCGTACGTATGAGATGTCGTCATACACATGATGTATGGAGTCGTTCGTATGAGATGTCGTCATACACATGATGTATGAAGTCGTACGTATGAGATGTCGTCATACACATGGGAAATCAAGTCTTAATTATGATATACAAATATATCATTTTCATCGTAACCACATTACGCTGTAACACAATCACTTTGATTGATATATTGACCAATCAAAAGAGCTCTTTCTGTTCACTGCATGGAAATCGGATAATTTTATTTACACATGCAATTGACGGTGAAACGGTGAATGATTAATTGTTTTATGATATTCAGCAGGGGCTTTATGTAAATACACATTCCATAACAGAAATATGAGTCATTCGTACCAGGGTTTTTTCGGAATTTTAAAGTAGTGTCCGATCGTTTTGTTTGATGATATTTTATGATATGACAAAAGACAAACAGACAAAAAACAATATTTAGCTAGTCGATCTACATACATAAATGTATAATTGAAGATTTAATTCTCTATCATACTCAAAATAAAACATGTTACACTTCCTTTCCAATGCCATTGATGTGCGTTTTCTTTTTCCCTTCAGTTTTTTTGTTCAATGGCTGCAACATATTCCTTGAATTTCTTCCTGTCCGGAATCGACACGGACAGTTGGGGCTACTTCTATCTGCCAGGATTAATTAACTTCGGGGTGTTTAAGGTAAACCATGATTCCAATTTTTCGCGTTTCGCATCAAGAAATCAATCAATTAATCTCCGAATAATGATCTACATTGAGGCCAAATCTGTCTAAAACAAAACTGATCTAAATATTTAAGCAGTGAAACACAGACAATATATCATTCCTCTTAAAGGGATTTTGTTGGGAAAAATATGTTTTTTCCCAATGGAATGTAAATATTCTTTTTTCTACTGAAAGACAGCAGACTGTATAACTGATTTTGAGATCTCTTGTCTCTACAGTGTACGAATGAGAGTGGGATCAGCTGTACAGCTGATTAAGTGATATCTCTGTTGTAAATTAAATGTTTACTTAATACAGTGTACGAATGAGAGTAGGATCGGCTGTGCAGCTGATGAAGTGATATCTCTGTTGTAAATTAAATGTTTACTTAATACAGTGTACGAATGAGAGCGGGATCGGCTGTACAGCTGATGAAGTGATATCTCTGTTGTAAATTAAATGTTTACTTAATACAGTGTACGAATGAGAGCGGGATCGGCTGTACAGCTGATTAAGTGATATCTCTGTTGTAAATTAAATGTTTACTTAATACAGTGTACGAATGAGAGCGGGATCGGCTGTCGTCTTTGGGATATTACTGACCTAGCGATCTTCATCGTAATGGGATTCATTGGAGGCCTGATGGGAGCTTTGTTTAACAAAATCAACACTGTCATCACCAAGCATCGTATGAAACACGTCAATAAAAAACACAAACTCTTCAGGTGCATTTCCTTATTTGGAATTATTCAATATTTCTGTTTCCGGTTTCTCCGATCACATATGAAATGTCAGCTCAACTACTTAGTTTTCATTTCCGGCGAAATATACTGAAAGGAAACAGGAACACAAGTTCTTTAATTGTAAAATATTTTATAATAATATACACAGCCATAAGGAAAATAAGAAGAATATTAGGGCACCTCACCTAATCCCAAGTAAATGTTAAAAATCCGTCATCCGTTACCTGAGCCTATCCATAGTCGGTGCGCCTTAATTATAAATATCACGTGACTGTACAGAAGCATGCGTTCTTTTCCATTTAAACTAATGTGGATTTCTGACTATCACCGATGCAATACTTTTGCTATCCAGATATTTTTTGACAAATATGCCACGGCTCTCAATGCCCATGGGAGGTAGGACCTTACAGTAGGTCGCTACTCACTTCGGCGTTCACAGATCAACTATGACTCTGTCGGTTTTACGTTTCGACGCTGCGCGAAGAGTTGATGACAGGTCGAATTCCGGACGTCCTTGTGTAACAACGCGACGTCAAGCTTGGTTACTTAGGCTTGCCCACTCACACGACGGGAGATTAACAGCAGCCGTAAGGGCAGGATATAACCATTGGTCGTATCCACCCTAAAACTGTGAGAAATAGACTGCGAGATTTACGCCTACGTCGCCAGTACGGTGGTTTGCCACTGGCACCTCCGCGTCGAGCACGCCATACGTGATGGTTGACGACACATGTGCTCAGACGTTTCGCTATGAGACGTTGGGGGTCCATGACCTTAACGAATAGATCTTGATTCACGTTATTTCGATCAAAGGATCGTCAACGTGTGTACAAAGAGAGCATCTTACAGACGCGTGTGTTTTGGAGCACGACATATTTCGGAATGGATCGGTTATGGTTTGGGGGGTGGGAACTTCCCAATGGTTAAAGACTCATTCCGTGAACATCAACGGGAATTTAACAACTGTATATTATCGAGATTATATTCTAAGGCCTCATGTTGAACCTTTCATTATAAGGCACCATTTTACCTTTCAGCATGATAACGCTAGGACACACATTGCAAAAGTTTGTAGTAACTTTCTTGCACCCCAGAACATCGTCAATATTTATTAGCCTCCATTTTGCCCTGATTTGTCCCCAATCGGACACTTGTAGGATGAATTAGACAGAAAAGTTCGGAATCGTGCAAACATCCCAAATAAACTCTGCCAATTGGCCAACGCACTTAACGAAGAATGGAATAACATTTCTCTACGGACAGTCAGTGTCCTTATGAATTCCATGTCACGAAGATTTAGAGCCGCTACAACTGTTGGGGGAGGGCACACACGATAATAGGGATCGGTCTGACAAATGCCGTTATTTTAACTTTGTGTTCATTAGTGTGCTCAAATTCATTGCGACCTAATGAAGTCCATATTTCTTTTTAAAAAATTAAAAAAAAATTGAAGACGGATGGTCCAATATTCGAAGTTAACTATTGCATTTCACATTAAGGCATATTGCTCATAAATATTATTTTATTAAATCGTAACGTTGACGTGTCCTTTTCCTTTTACCGGTAACTATTCCCGGCTATCCTTGTTGAGTCGTAAGATTCGTGGTAATGTTAAATTCACAAGGAAGATCGTCTGATTGAAATACTTATTTTACTGAGCTAGGTATTATCGGTTGCATTTCTTTAAGGAAGTCACGAGAGTATTATAATAGTATCAGTTTGTGAGAACAATAAAGGTACTTTTAATATTTACAACTGTAATCAACGTCGGGCAACTGATATCGTCAACCTTATTTACATGTATATGCTCCGCTTGAGTCGAAAAACGGATAAGTCGAAATATTTTCTACGTTCCCTAGAATTTCGAGATAACGAGTTTCGGCTGTGTATATTTTCATGTATATTAATTTATTTAATAAATCTTAAAGAAATTTTTAAAAATTTCGTTACCTTGTAGCGTGAGTACATGTAATTCAGTTGACAGTTTAAGTTAAAAGATTACAAATTATACATATATACTTATATATACTTTATTGTACATACTACCTTGATGTTTTGATAGGATTTTAGAAGCAACACTTGTAGCGTCAGTGACAACCTCCGTTTCGTTCGGTGCTTCTATGGCCGTTGGAGAATGCTCGCAGATCCCGCAAAATGTAAGTTATGAAACATCCACCGTTCTTTGTGAATTTGGAGCTGTGATAACCAGACACACACACTGTTTTGCCGAAATCCCAGTGATCTGATCTCAAGGGATATATATTAAAGCTTTACATTTCAAGTCTTTGGTGTTTACATGCCCCAAAGAAAAGGATCAAATCATAAAAGGAATTAACCGACTTGTCATTAAAAACCCAACTTCGATAAAACTACATCAGAACATGAATACACGGAGACACATGAAAACGCTTGAACAAGACCAGATGTTTCGGAAGGGAGTGCGCTTTCTTTTTCATCGAGGACACCTGCTGTATAAATCGCACAGGGACATAAAATATTCTAAAGAAGACTATTTGCGAATGTTAATGACTTCATTCTATGATAAGTATATCTAACAGAAAACACAACAATCTTAACATTAATTGACTACAGATAATGAAAGTTTTATTTAGTTACTCTCGTCAATGTTATTCATACATGTTGGATGTTGGATGTTAGTGTGGAGGCTAATAGGAACAAATTAAGCACTAGTTGGTATTAGAGCACGTGCATTCAAGCCCAAATATACGCAAATTTCACAAGAGAAGATATGTTCTTGTTATATCGATACAGAAAACATTAACAGATTTTTTTCAGAATACTACCAAGTGGAAGTTTTCTGATAAATTTTCTGAAGCCGTAAATTTGCCAAATGATGCAGATATTGAAGTTTTAATAACATGTTTCAATGATTTAAAGGAGTGGTCTTTATCACAGGTCCTCCACCTCGCTAGTCGCGGGTTCAAGACCTACGTGCGGCATTCGCCAGGAACAGGCCTCAGGTCTGTGTTTTTTCTATGGGAATTCCGGCTTTTCTCCACCACCCACACCTAGCAACGTCATGTACTGAATCTGGCTGCTTATAGGCGTGAAACAAAAATATAGAAATTTAAAAGTTCATTTGCTATCTGGGGTGACACCAGCTTCCAAAATATCATATATTTACTTTGTAGCTTGTGAATGGATCATCTAGCACTATCGAGGACACTGTTCGGACGTACTTCTGTTCTGATGGCTACTATAACGACATGGCTACGCTCTTCTTCAACTCACAGGAGGAGGCTATTAAACAACTGTTTCACCAACCTGAAACCAGTGAGTCACTGAATAAAGAAATTGTTTGTTAATTTTAACATCCTCTTGATCTGGGTTTTTGTTGTTGTAATTAGCAGGTTTATATATCTATAATATATATAATATGTATTTTCCATTGTTAGATAAACGGTAACAGCAAAGCACTGAGAAAAAGTATAACCGACATATTGTGCGAATTCATTTATTTTATTTTAGGATATATTGTATTCTATAAATGGGTATTATATTTTTATTTCTTTATTTCCTGACTGTTTCAGCTTCCGTTTCCAAAAAAATTCTCTTGTTTTTTATTTTTTTTGTTCTATATAATTTTATCTATTTCCAGACGGGTTCATTTTTCATCACCATGGTAACATTTCTCTTGTTTTGTTTTTTGTTTGTTTATTTGTAATACTATTTTATTTTTTCCCAGAGGGTTCAGCCTCCGGACCCTGGGACTATTTCTCTTTTTTTGTTTGTTTATTTGTTTTACTATTTTTCCCAGACGGGTTCAGCCTCCGGACCCTGGGACTATTTCTCTTTTTTTGTTTGTTTATTTGTTTTACTATTTTTCCCAGACGGTTTCAGCCTCCGGACCCTGGGACTATTTCTCTTGTTTGTGTTTGTTTATGTGTTTTACTATTTTATCTTTTCCCAGACGGTTTCAGCCTCCGGACCCTGGGACTATTTCTCTTGTTTTTGTGTTTGTTTATTTGTTTTACTATTTTTCCCAGACGGGTTCAGCCTCCGGACCCTGGGACTATTTCTCTTGTTTTTGTGTTTGTTTATTTGTTTTACTATTTTTCCCAGACGGGTTCAGCCTCCGGACCCTGGGACTATTTCTCTTGTTTTTGTTTGTTTATTTGTTTTACTATTTTTTCCCAGACGGGTTCAGCCTCCGGACCCTGGGACTATTTCTCTTGTTTTTGTGTTTGTTTATTTGTTTTACTATTTTTTCCCAGACGGGTTCAGCCTCCGGACCCTGGGACTATTTCTCTTGTTTTTGTGTTTGTTTATTTGTTTTACTATTTTTTCCCCAGACACTTTCAGCCTCCGGACCCTGGGACTATTTCTCTTGTTTTTGTTTGTTTATGTGTTTTACTATTTTATCTTTTCCCAGACGGTTTCAGCCTCCGGACCCTGGGACTATTTCTCTTGTTTTTTTTTTTTTTTTGTTTATTTGTTTTACTATTTTTCCCAGACGGGTTCAGCCTCCGGACCCTGGGACTATTTCTCTTGTTTTTTGTTTGTTTATGTGTTATACTATTTTATTTTTTCCCAGACGGTTTCAGCCTCCGGACCCTGGGACTATTTCTCTTGTTTTTGTGTTTGTTTATGTGTTTTACTATTTTATCTTTTCCCAGACGGTTTCAGCCTCCGGACCCTGGGACTATTTCTCTTGTTTTTGTGTTTGTTTATGTGTTTTACTATTTTATTTTTTCCCAGACGGTTTCAGCCTCCGGACCCTGGGACTATTTCTCTTGTTTTTGTGTTTGTTTATGTGTTTTACTATTTTATTTTTTCCCAGACGGTTTCAGCCTCCGGACCCTGGGACTATTTCTCTTGTTTTTTTTCTTTCTGGCCTGCTGGACATATGGTACCAACGTGCCGAGCGGGTTATTTGTGCCGTGTTTACTCTGTGGCGCCGCCTATGGACGATTTGTAGCACGACTCTTAGTATTGTAAGTTGTTTTTAAGGTGAACTTTTCTTGAAAAAAAAATACCGATTCGATTTCACAATTGAACGAAGATAACAGTTTTAGTTGAAGCCTTAAGTGTATTCGAAACAAAAAGTATTGCTTTAGATAAAAAGTATTGTCAGAGAGAGTTTTTGTTATATTTTAGACTATAAGTGTTGTTTGAGTCAGTAAGCTGCTCGAGATTATAACTTCTCCTTGGGACTAACTGTTAAGTCTGTTGGTTTTATGGCTGTAAGTGTTGTTCGAGACTATACGTGTTTTAGTATTGCTTAAAACTATTTCCTTGTTGAGAAAACACGTGTTGTTTTTAGGAAATCAGTGTTGCTTGAGACCAAAAATGTTGTTTGATACTATGAAACGTTGTTTGAGGCGATAAGTACATTTGAAGACTATTTGCTTGTTGTGACAACTTGATTTTACTTTTCATGGCATTGCTGACAGACTTGGGTACGGGAACGAAGCCATTCATTCCGGTACATTCGCACTCATCGGAGCCGCTTCCTTCCTTGGTGGGGTAGTACGAATGACAATAAGTCTTACCGTGATTCTTATAGAATCAACCAACGAGATTTCGTATGGTCTGCCACTCATGCTGGTGTTAATGGTATGTATCCTTAGTGAGGTCTGCCACTCATGCTGGTGTTAATGGTATGTATCCTTAGTGAGGCCTGCCACTCATGTTGGTGTTTATGGTATGTATCCTTAGTGAGGTTTGCCACTCATGCTGGTGTTAATGGTATGTATCCTTAGTGAGGCTGCCACTAATGCTGTTGTTTATGGTATGTATCCTTTGTGAATCCTGCCACTCATGTTGGTGTTAATGGTATGTATCCTTAGTGAGGCCTGCCACCCATGCTGGTGTTAATGGTATGTATCCTAAGTGAGGTCTGCCACTCATGCTGGTGTTTATGGTATGTATCCTAAGTGAGGTCTGCCACTCATGTTGGTGTTTATGGTATGTATCCTAAGTGAGGTCTGCCACTCATGTTGGTGTTAATGGTATGTATCCTTAGTGAGGTCTGCCAATAATGCTGGTGTTTATGGTATGTATCCTCAGTGAGGTCTGCCACTCATGTTGGTGTTTATGGTATGTATCCTCAGTGAGGTCTGCCACTCATGTTGGTGTTTATGGTATGTATCCTCAGTGAGGTCTGCCACTCATGTTGGTGTTAATGGTAGGTATCTTAGTTCAGTCTTTTGCCTAACCTGGTATTAATCGTAGGCATGTTATTTTAATCTGTTACTTAACCTGATATTAAAGATATGTTTCCTTAGATTAATCTGTCACTGTCGATGGTTTCATTTGCATGCATCTTTCAGAAAAATGACTCAAAACTTAACCATTACATAGCGGCATATATCAAAAGAAAGACCTACTTTTGCTATCGTTATTTCTCCAGGAAATCTCACATATCATTTTGTTTTTGCCTTCTTCCTGGTTGTGCTTGAGTAATTTAAAGACTGGTCTGAAAATAATATTGTCGATAGCCGATCGTCTTTACATCTGGCTGTCAAAAGTTTCCTTTTCTTAATCACGAAGAACAAAGGTTTTCTTTTATACATCTCCTACATTTCACTGCATAGTTTTGTTTCCCTAACATTGCTTGTAGTGAACAAATAAAATGGCATATAGGCGGCAGATTTTGACTTCGATTTTTCTTTTCCTTTTACGTTTTCCTTGCATAGAGCTCTATATATATATTTTTAAAATATTTGTAAAATTTCTATATATGAGTTTTCAGAAAAATCAGCTTTGATGCTTAATGAAAGAAGGATAAGACACATTCTCTATTAACTTGTCAGTACAACACATACTTCAGAGGCAGGAGCAGCGAAGAGAAAGTTTACAACCAAATTAAGATGACGGTTTGGTTTAGAGTCTCTTGTCATTTATGAGGAAATTTTACATTTTATGTTGACCTTAACCTTTGACCTTTCGTACAATCGGTCTGAGGTGGCCTTTTCTGTTATAGATAGTTTTTGTGAGGCAGTGGATGTTTCCAGTCAAATTCAAATCTTCATTTCAGGTGGCGAAGTGGTCTGGTGATCTCTTCAACGAGGGTCTGTATGATATACATATAAAACTGCGTGGCGTTCCGTTACTGGAGTGGGAGGTTCCGTCAGGGATGGAAAGGTATCACAATTACTGAAACACCAGAAAAGGAAATTGACAAAAATGACGAGGTGCTGCAATTAATATCGTCACATGTTTACTTATATACTTTCTTATCAATTTCTGTCTTCAATTCACTGACAAACTGTACACACGATCAAAAGTGTTGAACATATTTCTTGTTAGAGAATTTTTTTCCCATTAAGAGTTTTTGAACAACGCATATTCGGTTTAAATAAACAACAGCTGGCCTCGAGATTGAAAAGAAGTGCATGTTAAAATGTTACCATCAACCTATTACATCTAAAGTCATTGTTCATTTACAAATTCCTTAACATAGATAATATTCTCCACATTCTCCAACCGACACCGGATGATAAATAAAAAAAATAAACATAAGCGACAAATGTAAGTAAATGAACAGTCGGATAAGATTTATAATAAATTCTGGATTTATTATGGATTAAAAATTAAAAAATTTAAACGTCCACGCACTGCTATGTCATGTATACGATACCAACCCAAACAGCCATTGTGTAACGATCATATCAAAATATGACCTTGAGTAGCATGAGATACCGGAAGTGGGTCATAACAAACATCAATAACTCACGCGAGAAGTCATACTTCAACATGGCGTCGTCTTAAATAGAACGTAAAAAACACGTGTTATACACGCCTTATAGTTGCCTCAATTACGAGGACAGAATTAAGAAATATCAGAGGTCCCTTTCTGTTAGCATTTGCTGCTAATATTTCCAATGTTTGATTTGTTATGGTCTTGTTTTATGTTGATGACTTTCCTACCAATTACATTCCCCTCAAATCTGACGGTCTTAAAAACCGAGGTCGTTGTGACCGTGTCGAGGTGTTATACAGCGCCGCCTTGGTGTAAGTGGTATTTTTCAGAGTAGGATAAAGGTAATTATTTGCAGGATAAATAAGGTCACTATACACTTATCCTATGCTCCCTCCTTCCAAAGTATTGTGTGTTGGAATTGTTGAATTCATCAAAACACCGTTTCTCTTATTTCATTACAATCTCACCGATTCAATGTGTGGTAGAGTTGTTCTATACAGTACTATTATAAAATTTCGATATTGCCATTTATAAATGTAAATCTCCGGTACATATCTTCCTGGTTTTTAGTAAATGATGGAGTTAAGGTTTTAACGAATCGATGTTTTAAACATAAAAATTTCCATTTGTTTAGGTAAAAGGATTTCCTCGTTTCCACGATGCTAAAGTAAAAGTTGTTTTCTAACAAACCTGTGTATGTACCCGGTTGTATTACATCTATCCCTAACCTTTCATAATATTTCATTCACGTCGGAGTTCTTTGTCACTAGGTTGTATCAACATCATATATGATTGAGTGAAGTTTTTTGTACAGGTTTGATATCGACGTCGTAAAATTCGCATCATACCAGATTTTTTTTTTTTAATTTTTGGAAATATTCTGATGAAATATAAATCAGTTCTGCTTATTTCTTTTATGCGTTGATTTGAATCACTACCAGAATTGTAAAACTTGCTTTCAATAATGATGATGATGATAATGATGATAGTGATAATGATGATGCACGTATGAGAATTGTGTGTTGACGTATTGTTGATGTACTTTTTATGAACCTGAAAAATCTTGAAAAACTGGTATGAAGGACACATTAGTAAATAAAATGTTTGAATATCTAATGTTGAAGTCGGTGGTTAAACGAGATTTTAACTTTGTACTGAATAACCTTTGTCGGGGCTCTGGAATGACAACTTGGGAATCTCTCTTACCGACAGTTAAATAGATTTGTTACAGATAAACCACTGGGATCTGAAATCACAATCTCCGCCCCAGATATCCATAATTACAAACTCTCTTCCAAAAAGGAAAAACTTCAAAATTACACTTCTCTTTTAATGTTAAACGTAGAACCCTGACACAAAAGCAGTCTAACTCTGGAACAGCAGTCAATTAATGGCGATGATCTTTTTAAAGGCGTAGAATCTGCGAGGACAGATCTAATCTTTTAAATGTCTTAAAAATTATTTTGAAGGATTCCTGAAATATGATTTCATTCTTCTTGTTTTAGGTTGAAAGCGGTAGATATAATGGAGCGAAAACTGCATTTCTTATATCGAAGAACGAGGGTGCAATCTTTAATACAAATTCTCAGAACCACCGCCCACAACGCATTCCCTGTAGTGTCTATCATTGAGGACAAACAGGTAATCTATATAGAGCAGATTCTCAGGACCACCACTCACAACGCCCTCCCTATAGTGTCTATCATTGAAGACAGATAGGTAATCTATATTTAGAACAGATTCTCAGAACCACCGCCCACAACGCCTTCCCTGTAGTGTCTATCATTAAAGATAGACAGGTAATCTATATATAGAATAGGTTCTCAGGACCACCGCCAACTAAACCTTCCCTATAGTAGCTATCATCGACGACAGACAGGTAATCTATATTTAGAACAGATTCTCAGAACCACCGCCCACAAAGTCTTTACTATAGTGTCTTTCACTGAAGACAGACAGGTAATCTATATTTAGAACAGATTCTCAGGACCACCGCCCACAACGTCTTCCCTAAAGTGTCTATTATTGAAGACAGACAGGTAATCTATATTTAGAACAGATTCTCAATTCTCAGAACCACCGCCCACAAAGTCTTTACTATAGTGTCTTTCACTGAAGATAGACAGGTAATCTATATTTAGAACAGATTCTCAGAACCACCGACCACAACGTCTTTACTATAGTGTCTTTCACTGAAGACAGACAGGTAATCTATATTTAGAACAGATTCTCAGGACCACCGCCCACAAGGTCTTCCCTAAAGTGTCTATTACTGAAGACAGACAGGTAATCTATATTTAGAACAGATTCTCAATTCTCAGATCCACCGCCCACAACGTCTTTACTATAGTGTCTTTCACAGAAGACAGACAGGTAATCTATATTTAGAACAGATTCTCAGAACCAACGCCCACAACGTCTTTACTATAGTGTCTTTCACTGAAGACAGACAGGTAATCTATATTTAGAACAGATTCTCGGAACCACCGCCCACAACGTCTTTACTAAAGTGTCTATTATTGAAGACAGACAGGTAATCTATATTTAGAACAGATTCTCAGAACCACCGACCACAACGTCTTTACTATAGTGTCTTTCACTGAAGACAGACAGGTAATCTATATTTAGAACAGATTCTCAGGACCACCGCCCACAAGGTCTTCCCTAAAGTGTCTATTACTGAAGACAGACAGGTAATCTATATTTAGAACAGATTCTCAATTCTCAGATCCACCGCCCACAACGTCTTTACTATAGTGTCTTTCACAGAAGACAGACAGGTAATCTATATTTAGAACAGATTCTCAGAACCAACGCCCACAACGTCTTTACTATAGTGTCTTTCACTGAAGACAGACAGGTAATCTATATTTAGAACAGATTCTCGGAACCACCGCCCACAACGTCTTTACTAAAGTGTCTATTATTGAAGACAGACAGGTAATCTATATTTAGAACAGATTCTCAGAACCACCGCCCACAACGTCTTAACTATAGTGTCTTTCACTGAAGACAGACAGGTAATGTATATTTAGAACAGATTCTCAGGACCACCGCCCACAACATCTTTACTATAGTGTCTTTCACTAAAGACAGACAGGTAATCTATATTTAGAACAGATTCTCAGGACCACCGCCCACAACGTCTTTACTATAGTGTCTTTCACTGAAGACAGACAGGTAATCTATATTTAGAAAAGATTCTCAGGACCACCGCCCGTAACGCCCTCCCTACAGTGTCTATCATTGAAGACAGACAGGTAATCTATATATAGAACAGATTCTCAGGACCACCGCCCGTAACGCCCTCCCTACAGTGTCTATCATTGAAGACCGACAGGTAATCTATATATAGAACAGATTCTCAGGACCACCGTCCGTAACGCCTTCCCTTCAGTGTCTGTCAATGAAGACAGGTTCCATATATATTGTAGTATATGTTCTTATAATTACCTTGTTTAACATAATGGCTTGTTAATCTCCTCCTAACACGAGGGTTACTGAAGCGAATATTGACACAATCACATCGTGTGGTCTGAATGTAATTTAATGTAATATTACTTTTTACTGTGACCAGGGTTCATCGATGTGTGAACACCTATGGTTACTTCTGAAGATTTTCATGCATCACTTCCACCAGTGTGATTTCAAAGCAGATCTAAAGTAGCCAAATTGTTGTGAACAGTATCGCTGATGGTAATTTGATAAAGAGGTTGACTGACTTGATTTTACACAAATTTGAAGTCAAGGAAGGCCTTAATTCCCCTTATTTGAAGATCAGAAGGGGATATGGTAATGCCTCTTTCCGTCCGTCTGTCCTTCATTCCGTTACTCCATGTGTCTGTCGCGATCAAACTCAATTTTCACACACTGTTTTCTTAAATGACTGTTATATTTGGACTACTTTTCGTGCCAAAATGTCAAGGTAGATCAAGGTCGCAGTTACTACAATGAAAACGTATTCCTATGCCGTAACTAGAGTTCCGGGTTCCTCTGATCTGATCAATATGTAAAGTTGCAACAGTCCCAGGAAAACCAACCGATCAGAGAATTAGAATCGTGTTGGAATATCTCGTTTCATATAGACGCGAAATCGAGGCTTTTGCTGTCACCTACACAATATATGAGGAATTAAGTTAACGATTTTGTATGGCATTTTTATGATTTTATATTTTCTGATTTTCTTTTTCACATAACTCCCTTTTGTATTGATCAGTTATAAACAAATTTGATACATGGTAAGGATGTACTGATTCAGTGTAAAATACCAAAACTATAATTTAGTGTTTCCGGTAGGCTTGTACTTTCGGAAGCCATTTAAATAAAAGGTGATTAGCTAGACAAATCTGTCTGACGGAAAAGCTCGATAATGTCACAAAGAACTGCAAGAACCAACTTGTACTTTCTCATAAAATAATGGCGGTAGGGATCATTTATTGTCATAGAGTCATTCAACTTATATACCTCCTAAAAGAACGGATCAGATATTTAGTGGTTTGCTGTCTGAGTGAGCATTAAAACTTACATAATTGTCTTTATATATTTATCTACTCCATCGTTTGTTGGCTAAATAAGAGTTTCAATTCACCAGTGTATCCCTGAACCAGCGAGGATAATCTACTGTATCCCTGAATCAGTGACTGTAATCTACTGTATCCCTGAATCAGTGACTGTAATCTGCTGTATCCCTGAATCAGTGACTGTAATCTACTGTATCCCTGAATCAGTGACTGTAATATACTGTATCCCTGAATCAGTGACGATAATCTACTGTGACTGTAATCTACTGTATCCCTGAATCAGTGACTGTAATCTACTGTATCCCTGAACCAGCGAGGATAATCTACTGTATCCCTGAATCAGTGACGATAATCTACCGTATCCCTGAATCAGTGACTGTAATATACTGTATCCCTGAATCAGTGACTGTAATCTACTGTATCCCTGAACCAGCGAGGATAATCTACTGTATCCCTGAATCAGTGACTGTAATCTACTGTATCCCTGAATCAGTGACTGTAATCTACTGTATCCCTGAATCAGTGACTGTAATCTACTGTATCCCTGAATCAGTGACTGTAATCTACTGTATCCCTGAACCAGCGAGGATAATCTACTGTATCCCTGAATCAGTGACTGTAATATACTGTATCCCTGAATCAGTGACGATAATATACTGTATCCCTGAATCAGTGACTGTAATCTACCGTATCCCTGAATCAGTGACTGCAATCTACTGTATCCCTGAACCAGCGAGGATAATCTACTGTATCCCTGAATCAGTGACGATAATCTACTGTATCCCTGAATCAGTGACTGTAATCTACCGTATCCCTGAATCAGTGACTGTAATCTACTGTATCCCTGAACCAGCGAGGATAATCTACTGTATCCCTGAATCAGTGACTGTAATCTACTGTATCCCTGAATCAGTGACTGTAATCTACTGTATCCCTGAATCAGTGACTGTAATCTACTGTATCCCTGAACCAGCGAGGATAATCTACTGTATCCCTGAATCAGTGACGATAATCTACCGTATCCCTGAATCAGTGACTGTAATCTACTGTATCCCTGAATCAGTGACTGTAATCTACTGTATCCCTGAATCAGTGACGATAATCTACTGTATCCCTGAATCAGTGACTGTAATCTACTGTATCCCTGAATCAGTGACGATAATCTACTATATCCCTGAATCAGTGACGGTAATCTACTGTATCCCTGAATCAGTGACGGTAATCTACTGTATCCCTGAACCAGCGAGGATAATCTTCTGTATCCCTGAATCAGTGACTGTAATCTACTGTATCCCTGAATCAGTGACGGTAATCTACTGTATCCCTGAATCAGTGACTGTAATCTACTATATCCCTGAATCAGTGACTGTAATCTACCGTATCCCTGAATCAGTGACTGTAATCTACTGTATCCCTGAACCAGCGAGGATAATCTACTGTATCCCTGAATCAGTGACTGTAATCTACTGTATCCCTGAACCAGCGAGGATAATCTGCTGTATCCCTGAATCAGTGACTGTAATCTACTGTATCCCTGAATCAGTGACTGTAATATACTGTATCCTTGAATCAGTGACGATAATCTACTGTGACTGTAATCTACTGTATCCCTGAATCAGTGACTGTATTCTACTGTATCCCTGAACCAGCGAGGATAATCTACTGTATCCCTGAATCAGTGACTGTAATCTACTGTATCCCTGAATCAGTGACGGTAATCTACCGTATCCCTGAATCAGTGACTGTAATCTACTGTATCCCTGAACCAGCGAGGATAATCTACTGTATCCCTGAATCAGTGACTGTACCGTATCCCTGAATCAGTGACTGTAATCTACTGTATCCCTGAACCAGCGAGGATAATCTACTGTATCCCTGAATCAGTGACTGTAATCTACCGTATCCCTGAATCAGTGACGATAATCTACTGTATCCCTGAATCAGTGACGATAATCTACTGTATCCCTGAATCAGTGACTGTAATCTACTGTATCCCTGAATCAGTGACGATAATCTACTGTATCCCTGAATCAGTGACTGTAATCTACTGTATCCCTGAATCAGTGACGATAATCTACTGTATCCCTGAATCAGTGACTGTAATCTACTGTATCCCTGAATCAGTGACGATAATCTACTATATCCCTGAATCAGTGACGGTAATCTACTGTATCCCTGAATCAGTGACTGTAATCTACTGTATCCCTGAATCAGTGACTGTAATCTACTGTATCCCTGAATCAGTGACGGTAATCTACTGTATCCCTGAACCAGCGAGGATGATCTACTGTATCCCTGAATCAGTGACGGTAATCTACTGTATCCCTGAATCAGTGACGGTAATCTACTGTATCCCTGAATCAGTGACTAATCTACTGTATCCCGGAATCAATGTGTAAATAAGTCTTGTCAGGAGTCAGTGAGAATACTTGTGTCGGATCTAGTCTCTTTACTAAACATCTTTAATACACCTTCTGAAAATTTTTAATTTTGCAATGTTTTAAGGCACACATCAATTACTTTTTGATGTCTTACGCAGACACTTGTAGACATTTTATTCTTCCGAGCCTCGAACACATGCGGGCATTTTTTGTGTTCCTTTTCCAATGTGTAACTAGCGCTTTTGACTCTCCATATTTAATCAATCAGATGTTTTAGTCCCTGGTTGTAATCTGCGGTCAACTCGTTTTAGTCAGTTTTACTTCCAGAAAAGTCGACCAAACGTTAGGCAGCACGGTGTTTTAAACCTGATTCAATGCAATTTTAACTCTCTTGATTTTGCCCCAGACTGTGATATGCGACTGTGATGTGTCATATTTCTGGCAGAGTTCAAGCTTCATTTAAAAACTGTTTTTATCGCTCGTTCCTATTTGTGTACACCTATGTGTACCTTTTAGTCTGTGTTACCCGTATAACTGACAGTGATATTTTATACTTGTGTTGTAGTGTTGTTACCCATTCTGTAAGTGGACTCTTGGGTCTGTAGAATTTGAAATAAATGAAAAAATTCTTGAACAATACATTAAATGATCTAAATGGACGTTCACTGTTAATTTCAGGCAGGGGATTCGACTGCAGACGAACCTCACTCGCCTACGTAAGTATCGCCTTATACTGTTATAATGAGTCACGGTTGGGAGAGAGAGTTGAGGAATTCTATTTCATATCTATAGGAACTCTTTTACTATGTTACAAGTTCTTAAACAGTCAATATATGTCACTGAAATCATGGTTTGGAATTCAGTTATTTCATTACTAACTTATCGTACTGTTTTCGTTTATGTATGGCTGGTGACACCAATTCAAGGAACATTTTCGAGTTACGTTCTCTCTGAGATGGTGTGAAATGCTTTGAAATTTAATTTGCTTCGTTAACTAATATTTCATTTGATTTTGATATGTCCATGCAGGTTTTTATTATTTGAATCAGGCGACAAATTGCGAAAATTTTCACTACAACAAATGTTTGATACGTCACTTCATTTAGTTCCATTGAGGAGTAAACATAAATTTTGAATACATTTTCCAGATAAAATTTAAAATATTTAGTAAAATTTATAAACTGTAGCATCTACTTTTGCATATAACGGAATGTTTCTTGCCTGTCTTGTAATCTCCAATGATTTAACTATTTAAGGGAGCACGATATTCCGAAATACGTTCGTCTCCGTATGGATGGCTTAATACTGAGATCACAATTGGTCACGCTGCTGAAAAATGGAGCCATGTTTGACGAAGACAATGCGGTAAGTCAGCCTCACGTCATTTACATGTAATGATTGGTAAAACTCACAATTACCAGTGGCATATGTGGTGATTAGCTGCTACGGAGGGATGGAAGGAATAATACTACCTTTGTAAACACGCAGAACACAATAAGGATTTTTTTTACTTGCCTTTGTATTAATTAAAAGTATTCTTAGATTTTGTTGAAGAGCATCAAGATTTAAAGTGTTGTAATGAATATGAATGTTTCGTTTGAGAGAGCTGGTCCTGGACAATAAATGGTACACCAACAGGGCGCTTATTAGCTCACAATACACGGGTAATACCAATGTACAATGGACAGTATTGTACACCACATCGGAAAAATATCCTTGATTTTGAGGTCTGAGATTCTTGATCTGGCTTATAAACAGGTCAAGTACTAAAAACGAGAACTTAACGTCATTTCTGCACTGCTGGGGAACTATTAGTCTCAGTGGTTGACCGTAACCTGCATGTCAAGTTTAGATTCATTTGAACGCTGGCACTGTTCAGAACCCATGAACCTGTCGTTCTTTTGAAAATATCAGATATACAGAAATTACAAAACTTATTGAATTATTAAGCTAACACACTTCTCTGTCTATATTTTGTCATTTTTTGGATCTCTCTGGATTTTAATCAATCGCTTCTTAGGTTTCAAAACCAAGGTTCTTAGCATCACTGACGAGTCCTAGAAGGACAAAAAACAGCTGTATGATGCAGTTTAATTCGTCATTTGGCACCACTGTATCTGTCTCTAAATTGTTTTCGAAAGCGCTACTCACTTGTGTGTCTAGTGTGCATCCTTTAATCTAGAATAAATCTGATTCCAGGTTTTACTGAAAAAAGAGTTCCATTTTGCTTCAAGGTTTTGTTTAAACCGTAAAATGTGTACCAAAGAAAAAGAGCCTTCGAAGAAATCGATCACAAATTGAACAGCAATATCTTATGTACTGTAAACCAACGTCTTTTCGCGGCTTATTGATTTCGCGATCTTCCCATCACAATATCACAGAGATTAATTTTCGCGAAGCATACTACACTCGTCCTTTCAACTCTAAAAGCTGACTTAATTATTTTTTACGAATTTATTTCTGTTTTGACAGACATGCGCCACGTGGAAAAAAAGTTGGTTTGCAGTATTCCATCGTTCGATAATGATATAGTATCCATAACAATCGATTTGCTTTCACAAATTTTAACAAAAAACAAAGGACTTTATTTATTGTATACACAGTCTTTAATCAGTGAAAGTTGAATACATATATAATCATTTATTGTACAATTTAGATAAATAGGTTTTAGCTACGTTTATGTGTTAATACGGTAGACTTCTGACCGGCCATGAAGCATGCAAGTATTCAGTGTATTTACCGAAATAATATGTTTTACGTATTTACGTCAAATATGTAACTGGTTGTTGCATTGTTGAGGTATCAAGCGTGTAATGATGATGTGTGAGTGGCACACATGGTTGTACATGTGTGTTTCCCGGTGTGTAATTTATATCTATAACTGGTAGATGTACATGTGTGTTACTCGGCGTGTAATTTATATCTATAACTGGTAGTTGTACATGTGTGTTTCCCGGCGTGTAATTTATATCCATAACTGGTAGTTGTACATGTGTGTTTCTCGGCGTGTAATTTATATCTATAACTGGTAGTTGTACATGTGTGTTTCTGGCGTGTAATTTATATCTATAACTGGTAGTTGTAGGTGTGTGTTTCTCGGCGTGTAATTTATATCTATAACTGGTAGTTGTAGGTGTGTGTTTCTCGGCGTGTAATTTATATCTATAACTGGTAGTTGTACATGTGTGTTTCTGGCGTGTAATTTATATCTATAACTGGTAGTTGTAGGTGTGTGTTTCTCGGCGTGTAATTTATATATATAACTGGTAGTTGTACATGTGTGTTTCTCGGCGTGTAATTTATATCTATAACTGGTAGTTGTACATGTGTGTTTCTCGGCGTGTAATTTATATCTATAACTGATGGTTGTACATGTGTGTTTCTCGGCGTGTAATTTATATCTATAACTGATGGTTGTACATGTGTGTTTCTCGGCGTGTAATTTATATCTATAACTGGTAGTTGTACATGTGTGTTTCTCGGCGTGTAATTTATATCTATAACTGATGGTTGTACATGTGTGTTTCTCGGCGTGTAATTTATATCTATAACTGGTAGTTGTACATGTGTGTTTCTGGCGTGTAATTTATATCTATAACTGGTAGTTGTACATGTGTGTTTCTCGGCGTGTAATTTATATCTATAACTGGTAGTTGTACATGTGTGTTTCTGGCGTGTAATTTATATCTATAACTGGTAGTTGTACATGTGTGTTTCCCGGCGTGTAATTTATATCTATAACTGGTAGTTGTACATGTGTGTTTCCCGGCGTGTAATTTATATCTATAACTGGTAGTTGTACATGTGTGTTTCTCGGCGTGTAATTTATATCTATAACTGGTAGTTGTACATGTGTGTTTCTCGGCGTGTAATTTATATCTATAACCGGTAGTTGTAGGTGTGTGTTTCTCGGCGTGTAATTTATATCTATAACTGGTAGTTGTACATGTGTGTTTCCCGGCGTGTAATTTATATCTATAACTGGTAGTTGTACATGTGTGTTTCCCGGCGTGTAATTTATATATATAACTGGTAGTTGTACATGTGTGTTTCCCGGCGTGTAATTTATATCTATAACTGGTAGTTGTACATGTGTGTTTCTCGGCGTGTAATTTATATCTATAACTGGTAGTTGTACTTGTGTGTTTCTCGGCGTGTAATTTATATCTATAACTGGTAGTTGTACATGTGTGTTTCCCGGCGTGTAATTTATATCTATAACTGGTAGTTGTACATGTGTGTTTCTCGGCGTGTAATTTATATCTATAACTGGTAGTTGTACATGTGTGTTTCTCGGCGTGTAATGTATATCTATAACTGGTAGTTGTACATGTGTGTTTCTCGGCGTGTAATTTATATATATAACTGGTAGTTGTACATGTGTGTTTCCCGGCGTGTAATTTATATATATAACTGGTAGTTGTACATGTGTGTTTCCCGGCGTGTAATTTATATATATAACTGGTAGTTGTACATGTGTGTTTCCCGGCGTGTAATTTATATATATAACTGGTAGTTGTACATGTGTGTTTCCCGGCGTGTAATTTATATATATAACTGGTAGTTGTACATGTGTGTTTCCCGGCGTGTAATTTATATCTATAACTGGTAGTTGTACATGTGTGTTTCCCGGCGTGTAATTTATATTTATAACTGGTAGTTGTACATGTGTGTTACTCGGCGTGTAATTTATATCTATTACTGGTAGATGTACATGTGTGTTTCTCGGCGTGTAATTTATATCTATAACTGGTAGTTGTACATGTGTGTTTCCCGGCGTGTAATTTATATCTATAACTGGTAGTTGTACATGTGTGTTTCTCGGCGTGTAATTTATATCTATAACTGGTAGTTGTACATGTTTGTTTCCCGGCGTGTAATTTATATATATAACTGGTAGTTGTACATGTGTGTTTCTCGGCGTGTAATTTATATCTATAACTGGTAGTTGTAGGTGTGTATTTCTCGGCGTGTAATATATATCTATAAATGACAGTTTTACATGTGTGTTTTCCAAACTGTAACTTATATCTATAACTGGTAGTTGTGCAAGTATGATTTTCGTCGTGTAATTTAGATCTGAATGTGATATGTGCACGTGTGTATTTACCAGTAGGGCTCTTACAATAATTAAGTATACCTAAAATAAACAGTTTTTTATGGTAGTGTAAGGCCGTGAACATCACCAGAGGAAATCATCAGAGCGAGACGGTTACCTTGGTTTTAACAGTTCCATGAAAAAAGTTCGGAAACAGCAAGATTTGTATTTTTTAAAGTGACTTTATTTGTCAAAATAAACAGGATTACAGTTATTGGTTAAAAGCAGGATTGTTAGGATTTAAAAAGACATATCAATTAGAATTGATTTTTTGGCTTAATATCGAATTAATAGACAAGTTAAATAATCGATTTGATTAAAGCAGTGATTTACAATGTTGTAGAACGAGAATGTGTTATAGATCCTGTTTTACTGGCATGCTATTTTAAAATGTGTTTTGTTTTTGTAATGCTGAAAAAAGTAAATACACACGTGCAATGCACGTTCATGACTACACACGTGCGGCTTCTGTGTACACGTTCATGTCTACACACGTGCGGCTTCTGTGTACACGTTCATCAATATGAAAATAAAATCTGGGAAATGCACGTGAATAAAAGTTTAGACTTCCGAACAAACAATGTCCATAACGACCACGACCTCGTCACCACGATCTGAAACAACAAATTAATAGAGTTATTGTGATACACTAAAAGGTAAGGAACAATCTTCATTATATTATACACAATTGATAAAATCTTATGTTGAACAATATCAGATGACAAGCCAGCTTATATAAAAATATTTTCAAATCTAAAAATCAGTCAAAATCAAGACGTTACGAATATCAAGACTGTTAGTGTGCGATATTGCCCTTCATCACCATGTTAACAAAATCAATTAACATCTCACACTATCATTCACTGAAATGTGCCAAATGCCAAACACTTTCAGTGAAAATTATTTTATTTTAATTAACAAATTTCAAATGTGAAAGAAATTTAGTTCGAAGCGTTGTCCACCGCCGATGATGCCTGTTAAATATTACCACAATTAACGCTATAAATATACACATTTAAATACGTATAAATAACAAAGGTCAACACTCCCCATTTGGGAAAACCTTTAAGATGAAAAGTTAGCTGATGTCAAACAGGTCCAAATTTTAATCATAGTTATCAAGTTGAAATGTATTCTATCAGATATAACAAATATCAGTTTTATCTACTCAAGTTTGTTACTACCATCCACTTTCATATTGTGACGTCCATCATTTTTTTTGTTTAAACATGATAGTGAAGTCATTTCTTTGATAACAATGAATTTT